TTAATTTTTTTTTTCTTATTTTGTAAATATAGGATAGCTAAAAGAATTATTGATAGTGTTTAATTTTTCAAACATAATGATTATTTATCAAATAATTTTAAGCTTATTTATCATGACTTTTACAGTAGTAAAGTCATAATAAATATGCATATAAAATAGTGATACTCTTAGTGTTTTCAAGTTGAGAAAAATATATAATGGATTTCAAAGAAATATAAAGGATTAAAAAAATAATTTTTCGATTAGTTTTGATTTTTATAATTTTTTAATTTTTTTGGTATCTATGTTTTTTGTAATGTTATTTAAATTTACTTTGTTTTAACAAATATTTAGGGGTGGATCCTGGGTGATGCTGCTGATGCACTGGCATTAGTCTCTTTTTAACACAAAATTAAGTGTATCCTTTTTTAACCCTTACCTTAAATATTTAGATTGTACTTTTACATGATTGTACATAAATTTTAGAATAAAATTGAAGCTGTGAATTCTTTCAGTAAAGTTCACTATTTAATGTTAACTCACTTTTAAAAGAGTGTTTTTGGGTTTACTAAACACTCTTATGTTTTGGAGGAATTGATACAATTGTTCTCTGCTATCTATAATCTAATTGGTTAAAATGTTTTATTTTTTATTGTTTTAACCAATGGTCTTTAAACATTTTATAAAACCTTTTGTATCGTTTGTAGCAACTGATGCAATTGTTCTTTTAATCATTAAATGAATGGCTAAAAACATTTTTTAACCAATTATTTAATGCAGGAATTATCTTTTTCCGGATATTTTCGGAATTCCGGATATTTCTATAAATTGTTTTAATTATTTGTACAAATAATTGGAGCAATTGCTCAGCTTTGCATGAATAAAAATTTTAGTAAAATTGCTAAAAAATTTATACGCTTAAAGCTGAACTCAAAAAATGCTGAGTAAAAGCAAGTATTTTTTTTTTTACTCACCCGCCCTTTTAAAAACATATGTATGTATTTAAATTATAAAATAAGTTTTGTGTTAATTAAAGTTACCAAATGAATTTATTTATTGAGACAATAACAAAAAAGCGTTTATTGTTTTGCCATTATACTTCCGGTTGATATGTTAATATAAACTTAGCATTTTTCATCTTAAAATATCTTGTTTGAATAATTAATGCATAGTTTTTTAAACAATTTTCACACAATTTTGCAATTAGATTAGGGTTTTCCCCTTGAAAAAATGTTTCCGTTTGGTAATTAAACAAAGAATACCTCTTTTTTACTTTTTTTTTTATTCATTTTCTTACTAAATCTAAATAAAAAATGAAAATTTTTATTTTGGTTTTAAGAATTTATTAGAAAAACTTATCATAATTTTTAATTTTACACATCTTACTTCTATAGCACTAATATTATTTTTTTTTCAAATAAATCAAAAAGTTAGACTTTTAAAGCTTATTGAGATAGTTATTTTTATTCAGTTATTATATGTTTTTTAAATGATTGTAAAAGCATTGATCTACATAAAAATTAATTGCAAAAGGGAAAGCCCAAACATAACGTTTATAACTCGAGTTGAAGTTATTTGAAAGAGCTTTTTTTTTTGAGGTCATTTGTTAAGTACAAAAGTATTTTTCACACCAGTATTTATTTAGAAAAAAAAAATCAAAGATTTTTTTTTTCTAAATAAATAATTTACTGTTAAGAAAAAGAAATAGCGTTTATATTATTTATTAAAAAGTTTCTTGCTAATGTTTTAGTAAATACTTTTTTTTGGAACGATTAAATATGAAACTTATTTTTTAGGGATTATTCAAAATATGTAAACACTCAGCACATAGAAATCACTTTAATTATTTTGACTATTTCACCTAAAAATCTAGTTAAGTTTAATTTATAAACTCTATTTAAGTAAGTATTAAAATACTTTTCTTTTTTATAGAAGAATACCTGATAAAAATTTTCTTTTCAAGCTCATGAGATATTCTTAAATACACAAAAAGCGTTTTTATTCCCGGATTTTAACGGAAATGTCATCAAAATATTTTTCCGGATATTATTAGGAAAAAATTTTCCAGATTTTTTAAATATGACCAGGATAATTTATATGAATGATAAATTGCATCAGATGTTTCAAACCATTCAAAAAGTTTTCTAAACTGTACAAAGACAATAGGTTACAACCTTAATAAAATTTTTGATAACAAGTTAAAATAGTAGATAGTAGAGAACAATTGCATCAGTTGCTCCAAAATCTAAGAAAAATTTAGGAATTACCAAGACTTCCACTTATTTTAGTATTAAATAGAATGCTTAAAAAAAAAATCGGTATTGCGCATAGCGAATATTGATGTGCTAACTAGGGTCAACTGAGATGTGAGCACTCCAGTCAACCCCAATATATGTTCCGCTAAACCATAAATATGAAAAATAAAAAAACAAGTCTAGCAAGAAATTGAACCAGCATTTAAGCGACTTATGACTATGAGACACACTAGACATCTTTCCAAACACAATGGTGGATAATAAATTATTAACTTTAGAGTAACATATTAATTAGTGATCAAGGAATTTTTGTGAAAATAAAGAATCACATTAACATTAGCAGGTTCATATATTACACTCTAAACTACATAAACAGTAAAACATAGGCTCTAAAAAATCATAATATAAAACATGAAAATACATTGTTTCTTGCATCACATCTCTTTGATAACAATGCCTTAAAAAAACTTTTTTTGAATCACCACCTCTATTCCTTTGAATCAAATTTATTTTAACACCCATTTTAACAATTAGCTAAAGAAAGAATTGTGTTTCAAAAAAAGCATTCATCACTCTCAAAAAATTTTACATCTGTTTTTTATTTTTTTTATTTTTTATCATTCTTGTTTTAAAACTGAGATTGAATTAATTTTTAACTTTTCTTTGTAGATTGAACCTCAATGAGTATTTCTACTTAAAAAAAATTTATTTACAAATTTAAAATTGCAGGTTCACTGATGTTAAATAAAACTTATAATATAGTACTGTCTTTGGTAAATTTGTGCTAAAATTAGTCATAAAATAAAAATGTAGATAAAATCTACTTTGATCAGAAAAATAACAAAAACTGATTTATGCTCTATTAACTTAAACACAAATTGCTTTCACTCATTTTTTACTTATTTTTTTACTGAAGGGATGGTTACTAGATGCTTTGCCTGAAAATAGAGAACAGGTACATTTTTTTATTTTGTTACAGTTACCTTTGTCAAAAAAATTTTGTTACAGATTTTGTTTTTAGGAATTTAAAGGTTTTTTTTTTAAGTCTATTGTATATTTTTAATTCTCTTTTTTCCATTTGCAGTGATCATTTTCTTTTTATTTAAAAGTTTAAATGAAGCTCATAGTTGTAAAGTATAAAGTATATACTTGTGTGTTTTAGTTACATTAGTAGTTTTTTGATACACCTTTGCATTTTTAATGGAGTAATTGTCAATTGGTATTAAGTTTGCTATATTTTTATAGGTTTTTTGCTAAATATTTTGAAATGACTGAATATTTGTTACAAAGCTGCTTTTTTCACTTACTAATTATATCATAATATTTTAATTAAATTGATTGTAAATTATAAATTAATTAAAATATTTGTAGCTATGTATTACTATTAGGCATTAAAGATGCAAGCAGTTGGAATTTATCCAAAGCATGTTGGTATGTACCTTATTTTATACAAGCTTTTAAAAACAATTTTTTTAACATTTACTCTTACAAAGATTTTTTTTTGTTTTAATTAAAAAAAAGGTTTTCTAAATATTAAAACTACTATTCCCTGACTAAATCTTAGTAAACAAACTTGTTGTTTTCTTATTTATTATTATGAAACCATATACCCAAATATATTGTCATATATTTCAGTGTTATATTGTCATGTATTTCTGTGTATTTTTTATAGTGTTATGTCTCTATGTTTTGTTTATATCATCATCTATTTTTGTTTATTGTTTATATTGGTGTTTGCTTTTGTGTATTGTTTATATTGTCATTTATTATTTGTTGTAGTGTTGTTGATTATTTGTTGTTATTATGTGTTGTTAATTATATTTATTGTTGTTGCTTTTTATAAATATTGCTATTATTCAAGTGATTTCTTTTTTTTTTTTTTTTGTCTTATTTTAATATTGAAATATATTCTTATGCTTTTTTTTTTATTTTCTATTTAATAATCATTTTGTGTCATCTCATTTCCTTTTTCACTTTTTTTTTTTTTATTAGCCTTGCTTTCTCATTAATTATTGTTTTTCTTTTTATTGATTTTTTTTGTTTACTGTCTTTATTATTATTTTTTGTTTGTTAGCTTTTATTATTTTATTAAGGTGTTAATTTTTTATAATTTGACAGGTCATTGTTTTTTTTGTTTTTTTTTTTAATATGACATCAGTTTTAGATGCTGATCAAAATTAGTTGTCAGTTTTAAAAATCCAATTTATATTTTTTCTGCAATTTCTGATTTTATTTAATAATTATACTTTTTTATAGTTCTTCTAGAAGCTCCTGATAGAGTATTGATTGAAAGAGTTGTTGGCAAAAGAATAGATTTTTTAACACATGGTAGGACTAATTTTTTGTTTTACGATTTTTATCAAAATTTTGTAAAGTATAGTACTTAAAGGGACTACCAAGTCCCGAGACATGTTGTGTTCATATTAAAGAGAATGTTAAAAAAAAACGTCTGAGCAAATTTTTTTTGATTAAAACTAATTAATAAATGTATACCAAGAAAAACAAATCTTGTTGTTTTAGTCGAAGCTCGTCTTCTCCGTTTTCTCTGGTATTTTGAGTATGTAAAATAAAAGCGATTTTCCAGGCGCATTATACAGACTTGATAATTTATTCAAGCGCATTTAATTCATAGGAGTTTTAGTGCATGATGTCATAGATTATTTTTTTTTGTTTGTTTAAAACACCGGTTGTTATTTTTTACATACAATTTCCAAATCATATTCATTTTTATTATATTTTAAAGTTTTAAAATGTGTTTGCAAAACAAAATTAAAAACAAAATAAAATTAAAAACAAAATAAAATTAAAAACAAAATAAAATAAAAAACAAAATAGTATTTTATTTGCGCAACTTTTTTTAAATAATCGTCTAGACCACGTGTATTTTGATTTCTTTTGTTATAAGTTTTTCTTTCAAAATATTAGATAAAATAGTTTTTAACCTAAATAATAATGCACTTTTATTAATTTACTTTCTAAATATTAAAAAAAAAATTATTATCGCATTTTTTCTCTGATTTTCAAAAATGTTTTTTTTTGGTATTGAGGTGATCTTATTTCATTATTTATATTTCCATTATAACATTCAATATATATTATGGCGAGGGCTTAAAAATTAAAAAATTAATATATATTAATTTTTATTTTACAGACATACATGGAAACATAATTAACTTGAATGTTCTTAAAACATCTTGCGGAAGAATAAAAAGAATATTCGCGAACACTAAAAACCCGCCAAATTCGCGAACAAACTAATTCTATTGGTTCAAAAAACACGCTGACCAAGCATAATAAATTTCTAGAGTATTCTGTTGAAATGTTTTAGGAATTGTATTATTTACGATTTGTTGCGTTTTGAGATATCTAGCATAAATTTTTTTAAGAATATATTATCAAATGAACTATTACTTTAATATTATGGCTCATTCCCGGAGCCACATCTGTAAAGCCGTAAAACTTTTAAACTATTATTATTTGTTTACAAAAATAAACGTTTTATAATATATTTTTTTTAAATTGTCAAAATTTTGAAAGTTAATTACAAATTATATATTTTATTAGTATATTCTTAATTTTTATATCTTTTCTTAGTGCTTGGTTTAATTAATTGTTCGTTAGATTTGTAAAAAACTAACGAACAATTAATAAAATAAACTTTTAATAAAATAAGTAACTATAGTTAGCTATTTGAGTAAAATTTAATAGTAAAATTTTTAAAGAATTTCTAGAATGTTTCCAATGACATCATGCTCTAAAACTCCTATGAATTAAACGCGCTTGAATAAATTATCAAGTCTGTATAATGCGCCTGGAAAAACGCGTTTATTTTACATACTCAAAATACCAGAGAAAACGGAGAAGACGAGCTTCGACTAAAACAACAAGATTTGTTTTTCTTGATATACATTTATTAATTAGTTTTAATCAAAAAAAATTTGCTCAGACATTTTGACTGTAGTTGCCCCGAGGGGGCAACTACAGTCGAGGAGGCTACTCATTTTTTTTGTTGTTGTTGTAAATCGTGGTACAACCCTCTCTCAAATCTTTAACTCCGAAACACAACTTATTTTGAAATTATAATTGTATAATGAATTTAAGGTGTGTTTAAACTTGAATTTATGTTTATATGTTTCCTAATGTATTTTGTTTAACTCTTTATAAATTCATTCTCAGTTTACCTAGTGTTAAATTTTAAATTGATAAATCTTTTTTACTTTACTTTATTTAAATCTGTGTCCTTCATGATTTCTTGTTTGAGCTAAAGTTGTACATTTGTACAGAACATTTGCTTCAACAAAAAAAGAATTTCTTTAGACACCTTTAGATTTTTAACTGTATTTCTTAATTCTATAAATAAAAAACTAAAAACAGCATGTGCAGTTTTCATTTATGTTTTTTAAAAGAATTTTTTTATCTAAAGATGTTTATCATTTGACTTTTAATCCTCCAACAAAAGAAGATGTTATGCAAAGATTGGTTGTTGATCCTGAGTCTGCCGAAGATAAAATGTTAGCACGAATAATAAAATATCATCGGTAATTTATTATTATATATATATATTAGTTTTAATTTTTTTATAAATATAAATCATAGTAAATAATTTGTTTCCATTAAAATCCAGTCACTTTTTATAGAGTCATATGTTGTGTTATCTTTCTGTCACTTTTTATAGAGTCACTCAGTCACTTTTTATAGAGTCATATGTTGTGTTATCTTTCTGATTTATCAAGTCATCATCAACCTTTTATATCCTTACCAAATAATATTAAATTGTTTTTTAAAAAACTATATATATATATTAAAAATAAAGCAATTAAAAACAAAAGTATTAAAAATGATTAAAAAGAACATGAATAATAAAAGAACGTGTGTGTGTGTTTTCTTGATGTGTCATGTTAAGTGAGTTTTTTTAAATTGCATATTAGTTCAACAAAATTATGTCATAATATAATCTAAGCACGTAGTCAGATAAATTATTAAGTTTAATCTGTTTTTGTGAAATTCAAGTTCATTTAAGGTTTGAGATGCCATGTTTATCTTAAAATGAACATCAAATTTTTTTTTTCATTTTACAGATTTTTATTTTCTTACTGGATACAAAGTTCAACTTTCAGTTTGTGTTAACATATAGCAACCTTGCAATATTGCTTCAACAAAGTTCAACTTTCAGTTTGTGTTAACATATAGCAACCTTGCAATATTGCTTCAACAAAGTTCAACTTTCAGTTTGTGTTAACATATAGCAACCTTGCAATATTGCTTCAACAAAGTTCAACTTTCAGTTTGTGTTAACATATAGCAACCTTGCAATATTGCTTCAACAAAGTTCAACTTTCAGTTTGTGTTAACATATAGCAACCTTGCAATATTGCTTCAACAAAGTTCAACTTTCAGTTTGTGTTAACATATAGCAACCTTGCAATATTGCTTCAACAAAGTTCAACTTTCAGTTTGTGTTAACATATAGCAACCTTGCAATATTGCTTCAACAAAGTTCAACTTTCAGTTTGTGTTAACATATAGCAACCTTGCAATATTGCTTCAACAAAGTTCAACTTTCAGTTTGTGTTAACATATAGCAACCTTGCAATATTGCTTCAACAAAGTTCAACTTTCAGTTTGTGTTAACATATAGCAACCTTGCAATATTGCTTCAACAAAGTTCAACTTTCAGTTTGTGTTAACATATAGCAACCTTGCAATATTGCTTCAACAAAGTTCAACTTTCAGTTTGTGTTAACATATAGCAACCTTGCAATATTGCTTCAACAAAGTTCAACTTTCAGTTTGTGTTAACATATAGCAACCTTGCAATATTGCTTCAACAAAGTTCAACTTTCAGTTTGTGTTAACATATAGCAACCTTGCAATATTGCTTCAACAAAGTTCAACTTTCAGTTTGTGTTAACATATAGCAACCTTGCAATATTGCTTCAACAAAGTTCAACTTTCAGTTTGTGTTAACATATAGCAACCTTGCAATATTGCTTCAACAAAGTTCAACTTTCAGTTTGTGTTAACATATAGCAACCTTGCAATATTGCTTCAACAAAATTCAACTTTTCAGTTTGTTTTAACATATAGCAACCTTGCAATATTGCTTCAACAAAGTTCAACTTTCAGTTTGTGTTAACATATAGCAACCTTGCAATATTGCTTCAACAAAGTTCAACTTTCAGTTTGTGTTAACATATAGCAACCTTGCAATATTGCTTCAACAAAGTTCAACTTTCAGTTTGTGTTAACATATAGCAACCTTGCAATATTGCTAAATAATTCATTTAGTTTAAAATTTCTATTAAAGTTGATATAAAAAAGTGAAAAATCTTCAAAGAAAGTTTATAAAATTAATTTTTTGTAAAATTTTGTTAATAAAAGTTATATCTGAATAAGTTTTAATTATCAATGGCAAAATATAGTTTTGGGTGTCGTTTTTTTTCTGATCACTGTTTTTTATAATTTTTGTGTGCTTTATTAACTCCACCAAAGATAAAAGAAATAATTGATTTCAAAATAGCTGAACAACAATTTATTACTTATTACATCTGGCAGTTTAGAAACCAGTATTTGGTTTGCAAATGCCAGGTCCATAACTAGACAGGATAACAAATTTTTAACTGTAGTCCATTACTGTTGTAATCATAATGTGTATTAAAGCCACTTTAAAAGTTATTTTGCTCTTGTGTTTAAGTGAAGGTGTTGAATTACACTTCTTGTTTTTTCCACATTTTTATGATAGTGATTGGAAGAGCAAGAAAAAAGAACTATGTAAATATTAGGAAAATTTTTCTGGTGGACATTAGCAGTACTTGGAAATTATTATTAGAAGGTATAATAGTTAATAACAGTAACTGAATTCTGTCAGATAGTTTGAATTTATCTTTCAATAATAGTAATATATGATCCATAAAACAAAAGAATGAGAGTCCCTTTGAATTATTATTTTTAAACATTCCAATAGTTAGATTCACCTAATGAAAATGTTGCTCTCTGTTTACTTGTGACATTGATGATTTTATGATTGCTTTTTTGTCAAACATTGATGTATGCATTTTTTGTCAAACATTTTATGCTTTTTTGTCAAACATTGATGTATTTTGTCAAACATTGATATATTCATTTGTCAAGTATGTGTATGACTTCTATCACTAAAAAGGCAGTTTTGACACACTTTTAAAACAGACAGTTTGACTCTTGTCTTCAGCATTCCAATCATGTAAAAAATTCATAAATGTAACTAAATTGCGTGGAATATATAATATGCAAATGTAAAAAAAAAAAAAAAAGTAATATGTTAATGTAAAAAATCTACTTATTTACAGTGTTACATACAAACATCTGTAAGTGTAAACATCAGAACTACTGACAATCAAGTTGAGTTTGCAGATTGTATATTTTAGTTTTGTGTATGTTTTATACTTTTAAAACTTTTCTAACAATTAATAGTCTTTTTACCTAAACTGTTTTGTTTTGAATGTTTGTATTTATGTTATTGTATATTGTATTATACTTTCAGATCTCTCTCGTTGGAATTTTGGTCTCAGAATAACTAGAAAATAAATGTAAAAATATTAAAATCAAGATTACTTAAATAAATTAAAAACCTTCAAAGTAAGCACTTTTTTTTTTGAATGAGAGAAAAGCTGCAATGTTTTTGATTAAAGAAGAGTCCTCAGCATAAATAGTCTCACAAGGACTTGCATATTTCTCTGATAGAAATATATAAAAAATAAAAAATTTTGAAAAGTTTTCAATATTTTTCAGTAATCTCAGCTTTATTATTTTTAAAGATTTTATAAGTTGCAATTGCAACGCAATGTTTTTGCTTATTTTTGATTATATTGATAATATGGTTTGTAATGTGGTTTGTCACATAAAAAAGTATAAAAATAAAGAAATAAAAAATAACAATAAATGTAAGAAACTAAAAAAGGAGTATAATTAGTTAATTTATAACATTTAACATAGCAATTGCAACTTGTATGATTTTTTAGTTTGAACATATTCAAATAATAAAATGGAGAAAATTGCCAGAGGAACTTATTCAAAATGGCAAAACTAATGTCTAGTTTTAAAAAATGACAAGTTTTATGTTGAATGCATCTTGCGTCCTAAAGGAGCAAACAACAAATTTATCAAACGGACTACAATATGAAACAAGTTTACAATTATTTATGGAATTTCCATCAATATTTTCTTGTTTCTTCTGCTTTTGACAGACCTAAAAAATCTACCAACTTCAATCTCTTTCAAAAATGATTGACTTGTTTTTTCAAAGTGAAACTTATATTGACTTATGAAATTATTTTCAAGCTAGCATAAAATCTTGAACTTAGTTTCAACCTAATTGTGAATCCATTGGTGCAAAAGCTGATTGAAATTTGCACCAATCTTGAAGCTTCCATTAACTTTGAAAAAAGTTTGTACTCATTTTCATGTTAGTACTCATTTCACCTGTGTGAAATGAGTACTAACATGAAAAAAAGTGGATTCCAAAACTCTCGAAGATGTGCAAACTATTGTAAAAAAAATATATTTATATAAAGTATAACAATAAATTAGTCAGAGAGCTTGAAGAAAATGCTCAATCTCTTAGAATAAAATTTAAGTTTCTGGTTCTCAATGTCAGAATTCAATGAAAGAGTGCATTGAAAATGTTAATGACATGATGCCAGCTATCTAAAAGACTCTTCAAGCATTTGGACATGTTTTTCCTAATTATTTAGAAACATTCCTGAATTAGTAGCAACTCTTCAACCATGTAAAATTGTTGTGGATGCCATGAGTGGCAATGACTCTAACTTTAACATTACAGAAAGTGCATTGCAATTTTTATTGGAGGAATTGTGTCTGAAGGAAAGATTTATTTCTGGTTGTTTGCTTGATGAAATCAAAAAAGAAATTCTTAAAAGGCGTCTGATCCAGGAGTTCTTAAAAAGCTAAGAATGCCCCCTTGCTCTCATCAAGTAAAGTAATTATTGAAGAAGCAAAAAGACTCTGGCTTAAACATTTTTTACTCTGTCCAGTAATGATGACAGTGATGGTGTTATAAAAATTCCATCTAAATCTCAGAAAACAATCAAACAGGCTCCCAATGCTCCAAAGTTATGTTTTCTTGCTTCCATCAAATGTCAAATGACTTTAAACTTTGTTGCAAAACTCAAAGAGCTGCCAACAAAGATAAGAAAATCTATTGTGAAAAACAAATCTAAGCCATTGATCCTAATGATTTGACATTCGAAGAATTCAAGTTACGTTGTGACTTCAAATCAGAAAAGTTATGCTAATTAGTAGATGTGTTAAAATTAATCAAGTCATCATCAATTTGATGTGAGCAAAATTTTTCAATTTCAAGCAACTATCATAGTAAGAAACCAAACAAAGTGTCTTTGCTTATTGGTGGATTTAAACCTACAAAAATGTTAGAAAGTAGGCACTGAGAATACCATACTAAACCACTGAGCTATAAAAGATATATATTTTACAGGAAAACAAACCATTTTATAAACTTCTTATACCAATTGTAATTATTCAGAACTTTTCAAGTTTAGTACTCTAAATAAGCGAAACTATATTGCATAGCAGGATTGCAACAAAGTTTACTTAGATAATATTATGTACAAACATCTGTAAGTGTAAACATCAGTACTACTGACAGTAGGTAAGTTGAGTTTGCGCATTGTATATTTAAGGATTGTGTATTTATATTATAATGAAAGTTTAAAACTTTTCTAACATCTTTTGACTAAACTTTTATTTTTTGAATATTTATTGTATTTTTAAAAATACACACATCAGTAAGATCAAAAAACACAAAAGATATTTTCTCATTCAACCAGAGAATTTGAACCTTAGATGACTATTACCTTTCGCTCAGAGAACATTGCATCTAATCATATAGCTACTAATACTTATGCTAAGGTATTAAAACAAGCTCTTCTATAAAAGTTTATAACCATATTTATTAGTTCCCTCTTTCTTAATAGTTCTGTTTGCCATAATTTTATGTCACAATTTAATAATCTACAAAACCTATTATACATAGGTATTATAAACAGCCTAATTATTATTTTTTTTTTTTTTGTTAAACGTTTGTGTAAAAGTTGCTACAAGAAAAGTCTAACAGATAACTTATTTGACCTGCCCATGACCTGTTTTCTGAGTTCTCTTTAGCTTAATATTTATAGTCATAATGAGACAGTTAAAATTTGATTATAGTCTTAAATTTTTAAAAACACTAGGAGAAATGTAGCTCAGTTGTCATTTATGTTAGAGATACTTGTGTTTACATATTCAATTAGGTGAATCTGGACATCTAATGACTGCTATTTTATGGGTACAGGTATATATATATATATATATATATATATATATATATATTATATATATATATATATATATATATATATATATATATATATATATATATATATAGTTTTTTTTTTTACTTTATAATAAATGTTTGTTTAAGAATAAATTTAGTTTAAAATAATATTCTTAAATGAAATAAAGTTAGGCACTTAAGTAAATCTGTGTAGGCTTATATATGCAAAAATTAATGTAAAGTTTAAAAAATCTGTTTTTAGTTTTAGGCATGTTGAAACAAAATACAAATGAGTTTATCTATCTGCATTTCTTAATTTTAGTTTTATAACTTGAGTCTTTAACCCTTTCTGGCCGGTTGTGTAGAATTTTACACATACCGAGATCCACGCGCTGCTTTAATAGCAGTGGCGTTTAGAACGTTATGACCGGTTGTCGCGTATTGTACACATACCTAGGATGACGATAAAATCGTTGAACCAATGACGTTCTTACTTTGGATTCTTGGCTCGAGCTTTGTTTACAGGGATTTTGTGAGAAGGTCTACGGTGTTACTACGAGACGGAAGACCTGACTATTCCGAGTTATACAGGTTAGTTATAACCATGAAATGTTATGGATTTTATGTAGTAGTGGTGTCTTTGTATAGTAGTACCTTGAATTTGTAGCTGGATTGCAGGAATAAATTTTTATGTGGTGTTTTTTGTATGTGTGGAATTATACACAATCGGGCATAGCATTGAATATAACAGATACAAAATTGACACTCTTCAGCTTAGTATTGTGTGATATAACATGCTGGAATGACAGATTATTTGTTTATGATTTGTTATGGTGAAATATATTTATATTTTACCATGTTCATAATAGTGTTCAATTTTATTACTACTAGGAATAATAATTATAATACTAATAGTAGTAATAATAATAATAATTTATTACTAATATTATTATTATTATTGCTGGTAATACAAGCAGCTACAATAGTATCATAGCCATGTTTTAGTATAGTTATTATATATTTGTTTAGTGTTCTTATAGATACCAATTATATCTGCTATACTTTTATAGAGTGTCTGAGGTGCGACTTAGGGTTAGGCTAGAGTTAGTAATTAGGGCAAGTTTGGGCTATATTATGATTTGTAATATTATTACTATTATTATTTGTGATATAGTATTTGCTATAATGATTGTTCTGTTAGTAGTGATATTGATATTATTTTTGTATCTGTGCATATTTTATATTTTTTTTGTATTTTTTATTGCAAACATAGTGATATATAATACTAGATACCAATACTAATCATAGCATAAATTGTATTCTGATTTTAGATGAAGCCTGTTCAGTTCTACAAGAAGACTGCTACAACAGCTCGTTTTGTTCGTAACATTCCTGCAGAAAGTGATGATGATGAGCTCTCGTCGAGTGACAATGAAGTTGCTGAAGTATCATCTGGTGACGATACAGAAGAATACGAAGTATCTGACCAGCAAGACAGCAGCGATGATGAGCAGCCTTCCACTTCTGCTGCTGTTGGAAGATCTACTGTTTGGAAATGTGTTACTGGCCAATCATCTGCAAAGTCAATGCCAGAGTCTGCTGATCAACGTGCTTCTGCTGATACCATAAAGTCGCCAGTGGAGTACTTTCGTTACTTCTTTGACAGTGGGTTGGTGGAACACATTACTGATCACACCAATCTGTATGCAACACAAAAAGATGTAAATAAGCCTATTGGTTGTTCCAAGGATGAAATTGAACAGTTTCTTGGTATGACTATGTACATGTCTATTTTTAATCTGCCAAGAAGTAAGATGTACTGGGGCAAAGCATCGCGTTTGTCACAGGTTGCAGATGTGATGTCACGTGACAGGTGGGTTGAACTGAAAAGTAATCTTCACTTCAACGACAATGGAAATATGCTTGCTCCAGATGACGTTCAGAGAGATAAATTGTTCAAAATACGTCCGTTGATTGACTCTCTCTTGCCAAAGTTCCATTCACTGGAAGTTGACCATAAGTTGTCAGTGGATGAACAAATTATCCCATTCAAGGGACAGTCGGGAATGAAACAGTACATTCCGAGCAAGCCCTACAAATGGGGCTATAAAGTGTTTATGCTGTGTGATGTGACTGGAATTGTGCATAATTTCATAATATACACTGGAAAGATTCAGGCAGCATCCAATCAAGCAAACATTGGTGCCAGTGGCAACATTGTGCTTCAGCTGGTCGAGGTCTTGCCGCAAGAGAAGCAGTACCTGTTGTTTTTTGACAATTGGTTTACGTCACTGAAGTTGCTGTCAGCCCTAGCTAATAGGAACATATTAGCAGTTGGGACAGTTCGTGCGAATCGTCTTCAGAATTGCAAGATGATTGCTGATGCAACTCTGAAGAAGAAAGGGCGTGGCTCATTTGAAGAAAGAGAGGGTGTGGTCAATGGTGTCGAAGTTCGAGTTGTCAAGTGGTTTGACAACAAGTCTGTAACACTAGCCAGTACATTTGCTAGTGCAGAACCAGTGTCAACTGCGAGGCGGTGGGATCGTACTACAAAGCAGCATATTGACGTGCCACGCCCAGAAATCATACAGATCTACAACAAGTTCATGGGAGGAGTTGATACCCTGGATGCCATCATGGCGAGGTATCGGATCCACTTGAAATCAAAGAAATATTACCACCGCTTTTTTTTCCATTTTGTGGACTTGGCAGTGGCAACTGGCTGGTTACTGTATCGCCGGGATTGTCGTGATATGGGAGTTGATAAGCGTCAGCAGAAGGATCTTATGGCCTTCAAGCTTGAAATAGCTGATGCTCTTTGTCGTGAAGGCAAAGACATGACAGCAAAGAAGCGTGGCAGACCATCAACCAGTATGGAGGCAGAGCTGCAGCGCAAGAAGAAGAGGGGACCTGCTAAGCCTGTGCCAACTCAGGATGTTCGCACAGACTCTGTTGGTCACTGGCCGGCACATGGTGTGAGGCAGAGGTGCAAGCGTCCAGGGTGCAAAGGACAAACTGTTTTTGTATGCACTAAGTGCAATGCAAATCTTTGCCTTTCAAAGAAGAGTAACTGTTTTCGCCAGTTTCACGAATAACTGTTGATAACTGTGTTATTGTACCTTGTCTTATACGGCCGTTGTGGCCTGTTGTGTACAATACGCGACATAGCTATCTTTTGCTGTATGAAATGTTTTATATAATTTTTTCTGTCTGGGTTTGATTTTTGACTTATAATAGGTGTGTTTTCAAGAAAAAAATTTTTTTAAAATTACATTTGCATAATTCAGGCCAGAAAGGGTTAATTGGTTTAAATTTTTGAGACAAAATATTTCGAATAGATATTTTTCATGGTAAAAACTATATGCAATTTCAAAAAACTGAATTAAATTTGCAATTTCAGGCTTTTAAAAAATCTAAAAAAAAAATATCTTGAAAAGTTATATTATGATGCACTTCAAAACTAGATATCCTGAAACAATATTTTTAAAAGAAGCTTCATTAAAATTAAAAAATATGTTAAAAATGAAATATTAAAAAAATCAAATATTAAAAAATATTAAAACCAAAAAAAGATTTGTATAAATTACTTTAGCAAAAAAAGCATTGGATATTCTTTAAGAAATATTGGCTGCGGTTGACTATTAACTTGGAAAACAAGTCAAAATGTTCAATATTAGTTAAAGTTTAAAATAGTTTTCTATTTGGCTATTTGTGGTGATAGTAATTGTATATGTTTTTGTTTCATTTGTTTATATTGGAAATTGTACTAATTTTTTTCAGTACAATAGATGGTATAGCTAATTGCTATAGTGATGTTCTTAAGAATGTAAATGCTGATCAACCTAAAGACGACGTGTTATCTCAAAGTATGCTTATTTTTCTTTAATTATTAATTTTTTTAAAAGCGCATTATTAAAAATATAATTAAATTTGTGATAAAGTCTAAATTATACAATAAATCATTATTTTCATATAAATTTTTAAATTTTTACTTCACAGTTATTCACAGTGCTTCACAAACTTCTATATTAAAACAAAATAAATTTTATATATATATATACATATATAATTGTTTAAATTTACTTGCTTAAAACTTATTTATATATATATATATATATACATATATATATGTATATATATATATATATGTATATATATATATATATATATATATATATATATATATATATATATATATATATATATATATATATATATATATATATATATATATATATATATATATATATATATATGTATGTATGTATGTATGTATGTATGTATGTATGTATGTATGTATGTATGTATGTATATATATATATATATATATATATATACATATATATATGTATATATATATATATGTATATATATATATATATATATATATGTATGTATGTATGTATGTATGTATGTATGTATGTATATATATATATATATATATATATATATATATATATATATATATATATATATATAATTGTTTAAATTTACTTGCTTAAAACTTTTCTTAGTAAAACTTGTAATAGCTTCTCAGAAAATTTTATGAAATCTTTGTGACATTTATCTAAATCCAATCTAGTGTTTGGCAGAACAGTTTTTTGCATTTCTACTTAAACTAAAAACAACTTACAGAACAGGTTTTTTTCATGACCAAACTAAAGATTAGTGTTCTTTATTTCAGTTTTCCTCTATATGCAATCAGTGTAATAATTAGTGGCAAAATTATTTTGCAAATTTAGTGTTATAAATAGCTCAATTTTCTCACTTTATTTAACTAATCAATTACCTCACTTAATTTAAACAAAACCAGTTTGCTTATATGATAGTATTTTTTAACAATATGTGATAAATAATACCATGTAATAACAGTTGTATGTAAACACTGTTACTGTCCACAAAAAATTAAGTTTTACAGCTTCACACCTCTGAAACATATTAGCTTTTGCCCCTTTGTTAACCGTGTACTTCTTCGATTCTGGGTAAGTACTTTAGTTACAAGTAGTTTGGAAATATTAAATTTATTACTATTGAAAAGGTTGGGTTTCTCATTATTAACGGGATCATAACGTATAGTATCGTCATTATTGATATTTATACTAGGTTCAGTTAGATGTTTGTTTATTTGGTCACAGTGCGCTAATGTACCTGAAGAGTTATTCTTTAATATGACTGCAGTATTTTGAACAGCCTGAAAGATAAATGAAGCAGGTTCAGGTTTGGAATCTGGTCTTTGGTGATACCATAACGATGTTCCACGTTCAAAACTCATAGTGAGAGGAGATTTCAACTGCCTCCCCTTCATCTTGGAAGAACTCCTTGATCTTCCTGCATGAGGTATTGTTTTGTAACTTAAAAGCATTCTGCTTAAATATCCACATAATAAACCTTTATCTGGTGAATAAGCTTTTAAACCCATCTTAACTGTCTTTACCATTTTTTCAGCTGCTCCATTAGATTGAGGATGGTAAGGTGGGGTCTTATAAGGCAACTTATTTTCTTTAGCCACTGGTGTAAGGTGGTATCATGAAATTCTGCAGCATTATTGGACACCAAAACCTCTGGAACTCCATTTCTTGAAAAAAAACTTTGTACTACTGCCTTCACTGTGGCAGCTTCACGGTTATTTACTTTAATAACTTCAGGCCATCCAGAAAAAGAATCTACTAGAATTAAAAACAGTCTGACACCCTGTACATAGGCATGATCCATATGCACTCTACACCAAGGTTTATTTTCATTTGGCCATGTATGTAACATCCTCTCTTTCTTCACCTTTATCTCAGCTCATTTTTCACAGTTTTTCATATATTCTTCAAGACCTTGACAGTAGCCAGGCCACCAAACTTCCAACTTTAATCAACATCGAGTTTGCATTGTGCCACCATTACATACAATTCCTTTTTCAATAGTCAATTTATTCCTAATAGATTTATAAGGTCTTTCTGTCACAGAGCACCTGCTTCAATTATTTTTGCTAATTCTGGTTTTGATATCCATCAGTACTCTAACATTTTCTGTTTCTTTTATTATTTTTTAGTGTACTTGAAGAGTCATCTATTCTTCATCTTTTAGGATTAACTCTTCCTTTTGATCTTTCTTGAAAACCATATATCAAATCCGTTGAAAAATTAGCATCTGCAAAAGTTGCATCTCATTATCGAGCTCAACACCTTCTTACTTTGGATTCTATTTTCTATCTCTATAAATCTCAAATCCACCCTTGTATGGAATACTGTTGCCATATCTGGGGCGGATCTTCTAATGATGCCCTTTCTCTTTTAGACAAAGTGCAAAAATGCATTGTAAACATAGTTGGACCTGCTCTTGCAGCCAACCTTCAACAATTATCACATCGTCGTTATGTTGCTAGTAAAATTCACTCTCGTGTTACTTGTCATTCAATTAAGTCTCATCCATTTTCTGTTACTGTTCCTGAGTGCTTTAAAAACTCTTGTTCCTCTAGTTTTTTTCCTCGAACATCAGTTCTTTGGAATTCGCTTCCTTTATCTTGCTTTCCTGATTCATATAGTTTGTAATCTTTTAAGTCGTCTGTCAATCGTTATCTTGCTTTACAATCTTCATCTTTTCTCTTCCAATAATTTCCAAGACTAATTAGTGGTTGCTTTCAGCCTTGTTGGAAGCGAAGATGTTTAAAAAAAAAAAAGTTTGCTCAAGATTCACAATATCTGATTCGACTAAGTGTATAAAAGTTTCTTGGTCCTTCTCTTCATCCTGTGGTAGAAAAGACAATAATGCATCAACATGAGGAATGTTTTCTTCCTTCTTATAGCTAATTTTGTAGTCAAATGCCATCATTTGTAGGGCCCATCTTAAAATTCTAGCAGATGTTACTTTAGGCAGTTCTTTATTAGAATCAAATATAAACTCTAATGGTCTGTGATCTGATATCAATTTAAATTTCCTACCCAACAAAAAATGCCTAGCTCTGTGAGTTGACCATACAATAGCCAATGCTTCTCTTCATATTAGAATATCTTGTTTCAGCGTCTGATAAAGTTCTAAGAGATACAATACAGGATGACCATTTTGTGAAAGTATTTCAGATATAGCTTTTTCACTGGAATCAGTTGTTAATTCTAGATCTTGATTGATGTCATAAACTTTTACCACAGGTTCTTCGCAAAGATTCTTTTTTAGCAACTCAAATGCATATTGATGTTCTTTCCTCCATTCAAATGTAACTCCTTTCTTTCTTAAATTATAAGGTAAGAATTTTTGATCATGTTTTTCAATGTGTCGACTATAAATGTTTACTAATCCTATAAACAACTCAAGTTCCTTTTTATTTATTTTGAGTATTTTGCTGACCTAATTACGATCTGGGGTAACTCTCTTTTCTGATTTTGTATCCTATAATGAAAGACTTTTTGTTTCGTTCACTGACTTTCTTTTATTTATACTCATTCCTGGTTCCTTCAATTTGCTCAAAATTTTACTCAAATTCAATTTAAGTTCTTCAGCACTTTTACCACCGACACATTTATCTTGAAATATAATCATATTAGGAATAATATCACCAACAACAGATTCTATTGCTCTTTGAAATACCACTCTTGCACTTTTTATTTCAAAAGGTGAACATGTCCATTTTAACAATCCAATAGGGGTATTAACTGTCATTATTGCTTGTGCCTCTTTGTCCATCTCAATTTGATAAGCTCCCTTCAGATCAATTTTAGCAAAATATTTCATTCCTGCCATTTTATGAAATACAGTCTCAATATTTGGAATAGGCTATGAATCTGAGCATATCTTTTGATTAACACCTATTTTGTAATCTGCACATATGCGTAAATCTCCATCTGTTTTTCTAACAACCACAAGTGGTGAGGCCATTTGCTTCCATCAGAAATAACCCTTTGGAGCAACCCCTGCTGTATCATTTCATTGAGTTTATCTATCACTAGTGGTCTTATGTGAATAGGATGAGGTCGAGATTCAAAATAAGTTGGTTGTATGCCATTTTTTAACAGTATATTTGCTTTGTAATTAATTAAACGCCCATAAACAATAAGTTCTATACTATTAACTAATTTTGTTGCATTGATATTTAATACATCCATGCCAATTAAACCATGATTTTTTGTAAAGTCTGCAATCATTATTCATACTATATATTTATTTTTGATTTAGTTTCTAAAGTTGCCTTAAATTCGCCTAGGACTTTAATAATTGTACCATCAAACTGTTTCAGGCAGAGATAGCATTTTTGTAATTTAGGTTTAGACATTAGTTCCCAAAAATTTTTTAGAATGATTGTGACCTGACTTCCGGTATCAACTTGCATTTTTATATTGTAATCATTTATTTTTGCATAAATCTCTGAGTTTGTATCATTCATGCTAATGGAATATACACTAGCATCATCGTTCTTTATTTCCTCTACTGTTTTTTCATACTTAATGTTTGCTTTACATAAATTCTTAAAGTGGTTCAATTTCCCACATTTTCTTACAACTTTTTCCAAATGCTGGGCACTTCCTAGGTAGTTGCTGAAGGCCACAATATTTGCATTTAAGTGTTTTTTCTTTATTTTTGTCAATATAATTAACTGAAGGGAGGTCTATGTTGTTTTCAATGTTGCTTTGTATACTAGATGAGGATATTTGTTGTCTAATAAAATCAACTCATGCTCCTAGTTTAGGCGACTCTCCCCTCTGTAGCATTTCTAGAGCTTTAATTCTCTGATCAGAAGATTGGAGGCCATAAATCAATCTCATTTGAATTAAATCATCTTCCGCACTTTGGCCATCTTTTCCCAATTTTTCGAAGTTGCAAAAATGTGAAGTTTGCATAATCTTTGTGCATATGATACAATTTTTTCATTTTTTGTTGTTTTAATGCTAAAAATTTAAATCTTTCAACAATAATTAGTCACAAGCTGTCATGACCCGTAAAATACGGGTCTTTAGGATATTGATGCACACTTTATCCGCGTGGTTACAGTTCATAAGAACTGTTATCTGGTTTATAACGCAAGAAAATCTCAATCAAATGAAAACATCTAAATGATAACTTTTAATGTCCTAAATACGAAGATTAAACTTATTGATTGCGTAAACACTAACTTTAACATAAATGGCATTTGCGAGACATTTCTTGCAACGAAAAAACAAAATTTTGAAATTTGTGAACAATTTTTTTTTACTCGTTAGCGAAGTTGGTTCTGTGTCAAAATGCGAGGATCAAACTTTTGATTAATATCTTTACATATGTTGTCTATATACAATATCTATAAAAATTTATAAGTATTTAAATTTGTATTTAAAAAAAATCTAAAAAAAAAATTAAAACATTAGTCGCTAACGGTAGGACTCGAACCACGGCAGCTATGTTCCGAAGCCCAGCGCGATAACCATTCGACTACGCTGACGCATTAAGTAATAAAGATTCAAAATTATATAAAAATTGTGTTTAACGGATATAAATGCAAAAGATTAGAAATCGGCATTATGCTAATATTAAATAGTTTAACTTTTAATTATTTTTAGAAACAATAAATTTTATAAAATAATTTAGTGTACATATAAAATTAAAATCTTTAATTATGTTCTAAATAAAAATATACTTTTTAAGCCCCCATACCATTTTAAAAAAAAGTTATGGTCGCCGCGTGCCAAGTTCATCAGCTTGGCACGCGGTTTTGTTGATTAAAATGCAAATCAAAAGTTATATAGATTTTATATTCTATATATAAACATGTTTTTTACTAATTTTCCTTGCTCAATTTAGTTGTAAATAAACTTGAAAAGTTTAACTAAAATAACATGATTATCTCAATAATGACACATGCGCAAAAAAAATAAAAAAGAAGGTCGCCGATGGTAGGACTTAAACCACGGCTGACTCGGTCAGAAGCCCAGCGCACTAACCACTCTACTACGCTGTCACAAACTTGAAGATTTTAAATTATATAAAAATTGTTTTTTAATGGATAAAAACACAAAAGATTAGAAATTAAGCAAAGGTTGACGAAATGCAGTTCTTAAGTCAAAATCAAACTGTTGAACTTGATATATGTTTAAGCATGTTTTAGCATTACATAACATGAAGTTTATGTACGTACAATATGAGTTTCACGATTGCTCGCGTTTTCTTATAAAGCAAATGTAATACTCTTTCTCGTCACTATCTCGAATGCAATGGTTGCCAAGAGTATCATGTCAAACAGGCTCGAAAACGCACTACTACTACTATTAAGTCCAGTATTATTATAAAGAGATTTTTGAGGTATCAAATGGGACATAACAACAGTTTTAATATCATCGAACATCATATTTTCTAATTCTTCTAGAAATACCATAAGGTAAATCTTTTTAACTGCTTCAATGCCTGCTTTTGCCAGAAATGAATCTGTTATCTCGTTGCTACTGTTTATCTTATTTTTTAACAAACTATAAAATATACATAAACTAAAAAAAAACTGTCAGAATGAAATATATTTAAACTAATAAGAACATTTTTGACCATATTGTATGTTTATAGAATAAGGAATTCACATTACAATTTTATTAAACAAATAATGACAGTATTTGTTAACTGCACAATTTTGATCAAGTTGTTATTTTATAGATAGACAATTCATCAATAAATCCAAGATTTTATCACAATATGTTACATTTTTGTTTTAACATGTGAGTTCAATTGACTTTTTTCAAGTACATATTTTTTTTTGTGGCTATTAAAATTGGTAAAAACTGTTTACATCAAATCTTTATATGTGTGTTTATTCTCAATCTTCTATTTATATATAACTTAGTGATGTGGATATGCTTAAATTCCTTTTTTAAAGCCATGGGCTTTAAAAATATTTTAAATTGTGTTTATAGGGTATAAAGATTTTGTGTAAACCAGAAGGACTTAGTAACCACTTTTCACTCATTGTGAGTTTTTTTGTTTGATTTCAGACAATTCAACTTCTTGTCAAGGTTTCTGTTTTCAGCCAAAAACCTTAAAATATTTGCAAAAATTGAGTAGTGACCCCCTGTATTAATACTATTAGGCTATGGAGACTTTATCTCTATTAAGTAGTTTTCACTACTTTTTGATCAGTCTAAATTTTCATATTATTTCGATACAATCTTTATTTGATTTTTATGTAATTGACTTTAACTTGTTTTTACTTGATTGACTTTAACTTGTTTAAGATGATCAAAAACTTTATCAAAACTGAAATATGTGCTCATCAACATAAACTAAAATATGTGCTCATCAACATAAACTGAAATATGTGCTCATCAACATAAACTGAAATATGTACTCATCAATATAAACTGAAATATGTACTCATCAACATAAACTGAAATATGTGCTCAAAAACATATACTGAAATTAGTGCTCATCAACATAAATTGAAATATGTGCTCGTCAACATAAGCTGAAATATGTGCTCGTAACATAAAATTTCTCAGATAAGATAATAAGATAATTGCTATTATTGTAATATTGAGACTGTTTGGTAATGCATTTTTTGCTACTTTAATTAGAAAAAGTTCTCTGGAATTGTTCTTAGTTCTTGATACCTGTTTTACCTCTTTCTGATCCAATTGTGTTTATAATTGATGAAGCCTTTTGATGTACGTTGCTTTACTTCATCTCAACCTCCATTTTAACTTTTTCTCTCCGACTGCTAAACACATTTAGTTTCCATTAATTAAATTTATGCAATTAAAGATGTGTATATATGCAATAAATAAATGAAAAAGCTAAAGGTTTAATATATGCAATAGTAAAAACTGATATTTGATAACTAAAAGTTGTTAGTTTTGATATTTTGATGTTGTTTTATAAAGTATTTAAATGATTCTTATAAGAAATAAATAATTTTGTTGTTAGCTTTAGTGCATTTATCCACTCGCCAACGAAGCAATGCTCCTTTTACTCCAAGAGTTTTGTTCCTCGGACCACCTGGAAGTGGAAAATCTTTACAGGCTGTTATGCTTGCCAAGAAATATAATCTTGTGAATAGTAAGTTAAATTTAAAACAAATCTCACTTTTTATTTTGCTCAATGTGTTTGCTCTGAATTTGCTCTAAAACTAAAATCAAAATTCTGCTACAATTTAAATTTTACTGTTTATAGAAGCTACTTGTTATTGCTTGAATCATTTTAAAATCAGTAAGAGCCAAATTTAATAAATTTTTAGTTATTAGTATATTTTTATGTAAAAATGATTGTTAAATGGGTAGAAATGGTTATTGTGCTGTATATGGTGTAAAAAGAGTCAGATAAACCTTATAAGATGTTGTTTAATTAACGTTGTTGTAAATAAGCGTGTTTTAATTTTAAAGTTTATGAATTAATATATCATTTTTGTTACTATTTATAAGGGTAATTCCTTTAGGGAATAGTCAAAAAAAATACTTAGAAAACTTTGATCCAAACACTACTTGAACAGTATTTGAAAATGAGAAAATATTATACTAGGAAAACCACTACTTTAGAATTTGATTATCTAGTGAAAACTATAGAAAACTTTGAAGTTTGCACATTTCATACATGCACATACTCACACACACACAAGCCAATTATCTAGATTTCAAACAACTTATAAAAAAAAAATTTTAAGTCTATAGTTTTTAAACTTTTTTATTTAGTTGATTGCAATGAATTTATCAAGCAAAAACTTAAAGATGATTCAAAGTTTGGTGAAGCAATGAAACCATTTGAAGAGCGTGGTGTCAAAAGTAATTTTTAAACAGTTCTATATAGTGTAATCTGGTTTTTAAAATGTATATATTTAAAATAATATATAATAAAAATTCCAATTTCAATCAATAAATTAATTTCATAAAATAAAATGATACTGTGTATAAAAAATTATTGATTAAATATTTAAAAGTTAATATTTATATCAAAAATTATTGATAGAATGTTTAAAAGTTAATACTTGTATCAAAGTAGTAGTTCGAACATTTTTATAAAACTGAGTTTATCTCTAAAATATTTTATAATAATTATTGTTTTATTATAAAACAATAAATATTTTCATTATTTTAGTTATTAATTTCGGTATTCTAGCTTCACTTTTAAAGAAAATTAGTTTTTCTAACATAGGGGTTAATTTAGAGGTCTTGATTTAATGCTGAAAATAATTTGCCCAGTTAATTTTTTTTTTTGTGTTATTATATTGTATTAAACTTTTACAGGGTAAAACAGACAGTTTTCAATATTCGTTTTTAAAGGTATACCCTAATATATAAATAATTTGAGTTAAAATACATACTTAGTTAACTTCATTAAAAATAGATATAATATTAAACATTCTAAAAATCACCTCTACACTTACCGATTATGGTAAAAATGAAGTTTGCAATGATTTGACATCAAAAAGTACCATTTGATATTTTTATAACTTTTGATTTTTATAAAAGATAAGTTTAGTAAAAAAAAGTATTATAATTTTATTTTTTAGGTTTCATTTTAAAAAGCAATCAAACTCCTAGTCACAAATTTATGGGTTACAAATAAATTTTTGGAATTTATATGGTTGCTTATAATGCACACACTAGAAAAAATAGCATGACACAATAATGAAAATATTGACAGCTCATTAAAGAAAATCTAAGATGTGTTTATTCATTATGTTAAAAAGAAGCTTTTAACAGATTTATTAAGAGCCTGGAGTTAGCCTAAAGTGGACTCCAGGAGGCTATGTAAAACACCAAAGCCTTTTTTTTTCTTTTGCTTTTAGAATCTAAAGTCTCACTCAACCATAAATTAAAAGTCAAAATAATGAAACCTTAGTTTTATTCCTAAATTGATCATTACAAATGTATGGATAATCTTTTATTTAAAAAAAAGCTTCTGTTACTAAAAACCAATTTTTTTGATTTTATATTTTGCGAAAAGTTGAGATTTGATGTTGTTGTGAAGCGTTGAGGTTTTTGTGTCTAAAATTGAATCATACGAGATAAGTAGATCCTGATCTCAAGCAATGTCTCAAATCTAGTAGAAGTTATTTAAAAGTGATTAAACTTTGTACAATATATTACAAATAGTTGACGCATTTATGTTTTAATTTTTATTGTAAAACATAAATTAGTAGTCAATTCTTGTATAAAATTTTTTCAAATTACAAGATAACATGTTAAAATTTTTAAAAATGTCAAAAAAAGCACAATAAACCTAAATGTTTATAGTAGTTACAATAAAACATATTTTAATCAACAAAATAGCAAAAGTAGTTTTTTCAAATACTCTTCTTGAAATATAAAAATTATAATAATTTTTTTGCTGATGGTTTTTTTAAATGTTGTCTATTAACTTTAATTCCATCACTTTAAAAGTTTAAAAAATGTGCTACATTTATCAAATATTTTGCGCATATGTTTCTATATGCTTTATTTAATTATTATAGTACCTGATGAACTGATTGTTAATGTTGTTCAAGAACGTCTTGGTTATCTTGATGCTGTGAAAAAAGGTTGGATATTGCATGGTTTTCCAACAACAAGAAGTCAAGTTGACTTATTAAATAAATCTGGCCATGAACCTAATCGAGTGATTGTTTTTGATATCTCTTGTGATGTAGCTATCGAAAGATTATCTCTGCGTACCGTTGATCCAGTGACTGGGCGCAGGTGTATTGATAATATTGTTTGTACACTTTTATCTTTGACAATAGGTCGTTATTACATTATTACAGCTAATCTTAATAAATCTTTTTATTTCAGATATCACATTTTGTATAATCCTCCAAACTCAAATACAGTTAAAGAACGATTAAAAACAGTAAGTTTTTGATTTCTATATTCGATTTTTTTTTGTTTGTTTTTTTGTTGATTTTTTTTTCCAAAATTTAATTATTTTTCAGTTCAAATTTTAGCCTTTTATTAATTCGCCTAAAGTTGTAATTAATATGTAAAACTATTTGATTTAAGCATCCTAACGACGAAGAAAGCGCCGTTTTAAAGAAATACGTAGACTATCGAGAATCGTTAGATGACGTATTAGAGTTTTATACTTCAGCTAATGTTATAAATGCAGACCAAGATGTGCAATCGGTATTTGAATGCATTGAAACCATATTAGTTTATCCATTACCAAAAATGCTAAAGTAACTTAATTGTTAAGGTTTTTCAATTTTAATTATTTTGAAAACTTTTAATTGAGTTACTCGTATTTATGACATCTTAGATCCAAAGTTTTTGAATTTGACAGATATTTATTATTGCATAGTTAACTTTTATATATAAACATTAATATATTTTTGAAAAATTATTTCATAAGCCTAATTTGTCGTAAAACAAGCTGTTACATATTTCAAAGCTTTTCGCTCATCAGACATTTTTAAGTATGCAAGTATATCTGATTAATATCTTAATGGCAAGCTATCTCGAAGTTTTTACAAAAAAGCATTCGTGGTGTAATGGATTAGTGAATAACTTTATCAGAGGCTTTAATTTGCTGCATTAATATTTTGATTGCAGATTTTAAATCATTTTTAATTAAAATGTGTCTTTTTGAAATACTCGGCATTGATGTTGTTGGTGATGATAAAATTGAAGATGAACGCTGCGCAGTTGATGATATAGTTGATGTTGATGCTAGCTCTGGATCTGGATCTTCATGTTTTTGTTATTTTAAATTTGGATAGGTCAATATTAGATTTATTAAAAAAAAATAAACTTGTTTCTAAATTTGCTAACTGCGTTCTGATGAAGCACTAATGTAAAACTTTTAGCAAACTTAAAAAATTAGCTTTGAAAACGTTTTAATTCATAATACGATTCTAATAAGTTTTTCTGGGTATTTTTAACGCGACATTGCAGTGGCTGTAAAACATGATTTGAACGAGTTAGTAGGCAGACCAATGGGACTAATTGTTTTTATTTTCATATTTCAATAATTGTAACCATTTATACAAGAATTGTTTTCCGCAAATTGTTTTAACTGCTGGAATGAGTAGCACTTAATAAATTGCAATTTTTCCATTTATCTCGTTTCTGATCTTGTCTGCATTGGTCCTGTTGGACAATCTTTACTTCATGATTGATATAAATATCTTTCCGATTTACTAACAACGAAAATTTGTAAGTAACAACCTAATGCATTGACGCAATTGTTTAAGATATAATTAATTTTTTCATCGATAGAATGGCGTTTATTTATAAAGAGAAACTAAAATCGTAGATAATTATTTCGTAGATATTGTTATTTTGAATAATTATTTTATTATTCACCAAAGTAATTAAGGAAGTAAACATCTTTTACCTCATGTCACACTAAAATTTTTACATTCTTTTACTTTTTTTTTTTCAAGCTTAAAAGCAACTCGAAATAAACCATAAATCAAAGAAACGAAAAGGACATGCAACTTACAAACTTTAATAACAAATTTATTTAAAAAAAAAAATCCTCTTTTATAAACACGAGTTCGATGCAATGTTTGAATGACTTCTATACTATAATTTCTATACAGCGAGTTCTACTTACTTATAGAGTCGAAATACTTTTCTATTGGTAATTGTAAAACAAAATTGTTAATAAATAATATTAATAAAAGAAGCAACCAAAACCAAATACGAAAAAAGCTTTTTGTTTCGCTTGCATATCTTATATATTATTGCCGAATTTAATAGTGTTAGTGCCCCTTCGGGCGTATTTGACACGAAACCCTTGGCAACCATTGCAACCGAGGTAGTAGCGAAAAAGAGTTGCGGTACATTTCGTTATAAGAAAATGTGAGCTAAAGTGTATGCAAGTATCCAACTTATGTAAACTTGAAATTATTTAATGTTAAAACATGTATCAAGATTTACAGTTTGACTTTCACTTGAAAACTACATGGCGGCAATCACGGTTAGCACGAATCCTTATAATGCCTACCTAACTGTCCCAAGAATGCCACTTATACGGAAAGTTAGCGTACACATCAAGGTACCCTGTGATGCAAATTTTGAAATCATTTAATTTTGTCCGCAGAAAATAATTCAAGTTAAGTCAAATTTTGACTTCATAGTGTGCCAATAAAAACACTTGTAGAATTTCAACTACTCAATATAATTTGATAAAAATTGGTGCAAATGTAGCTAATAGTCACACCAAACTCTAGACAAAATTTCAGCCTGATTGGATGACTGGTGTAGGATTTATTGCAGTTTTAGTTGAAGTTTTGTCAGTTTTTTGCTACTTATACCTCAAAGCGTTACCGATTACTTTGAAGTTCGGTCACTATTTTTAAAATAACGGTTACATGAGTGTTCTACTATGTAATATCAACAATTTTTGTTATGATTATTTTATCGGTTAATGTACAGTTTTCATTTTATAGACCAAAATAGTAATTTGCTACTTAAAGCGTTGTTTGAATTGGCTTATGCCAATGGCGTTGACACGGCCCTCAAGGTGGAGGGGGTCAACCCCTCAATTTCTAAAATAATTGCCTATATTTCTAAAACAAAAGGTCCTCGCAAAAAAAAAGTCAAAAATTTGACTTAACTTGAACATTCAAATTAAATTATTTTCCGCGGACAAAATTAAATGATTTCAAAATTAAAATTATTAAAAAAATGTAAGATAACTAAAATAAAAATATAATTAAAATTATTAAAAAAATTAAAATAAATAAATTTTTAGATAAATGCGAAAGGAAATTTGACTCATAAAAGTTTATTTTGTCGCAAACTGACCTCAATGCGCAAAATTTTTTGAAATTTTTTGCATTTAATGGCAGAGGCAATTATTCTTTAGTTTTTAATTATAATCATAAGAATGAACTTTTTTTTTATGACTGTGTATAAGGGTGGTTCAAAAATGGGTCATTGTAAAATTTCAACAAGAGGGAAAGCTTATAAGGTGCTCAGATATTGGTTTTATATATAAATTTTTTTTTCCGTTAATATTTCACGGGCTCTAAAATTTCAATGCCAGTGAGCCACCCTAAAACAATGAAAAAAAAAAGAAGAAAAAATCATCAGTAAACTTAGAATGAGTTATAGAAACTTAAGAAAATGCACTCCTAATGAAATTTTTTATTAAAAAATTCTGAATGAAACTGAAAAAATTAGGAAAACCGAATATTTTGCTTTTTCAAGCATTTTCTTTGTAACTTATGATGACATTTTTATCATTTTTTATAGTTAAAATCACACAAATATGATTAGAAAATCTTTTACCAGTATAAAAAGTATTTTTTTTTTTAGATAATTTAAAGTTAATTAAGATGAGTAAGAAGATCTAGACTTCAATGTACTCTATAACCCACGTATTTTCTCAGCGTACATCAGCGTACAACAGTACTGAGTACAACTGTGCACATTTATTCCAAACTGGCAATAAGATTGCAAGTGACGTCAATCAAGTGTTTGAATTAATAGCAAAACTTAAACAAATACAAGTGAAATTCTAAGAAATATGCTTATTCTTAAATATGAAAATAAATAAAGTTAAATTATGTTATGTATTATTGTTTCTTTTATAATTAAATAGATAAAATGCCAAGAATTCCTGGGAAAAAAAGAAAGAGGGCCGATAAAAAATTCTTAGTAGGTAAAGCAAGGGACTCACTTCCATCTAAACAATTTGCCACAGGAGAAGAGATTATTCAGTATTATCTTCACCTTCGTAAAACCATACCTTATGCTGCTATGAGAAATCTTGCCTGCTGTTACAGGGGCGAATCCAGGATTTTTAGTATTTAAGTATATAACTTCTTAGTTATATAACTTGATTTTTAGTATTTTCATATTTTATTCATTTAAGAATGATTTGCAAAAATTTGCGCTGATTAGAGTCTGCGAACAAAAAAACCCTAAAAAGTAGGCACCACCCGCCCAAATGTGGGGAATCGGTTTTTCTAAATATAAATTCTAATATCCTAAATAAAGTGGTAATATCATTAAGGTTCTAAATTTTAAAAAAATACAAATAAAAAATATTATGTTGTTTAGAAATTATACCCAGTTTAAATTTACAACACCCTCGTTTTGAGGGGGCTCTAAACTTGAAATGGCTCTAACTTTTGAACGCTAGATGATTTTTTGATCAAACTTTAAATATAGCACTTTTAAATTTTATTAAAGGAATTAACTTTTTTTTTTCGAAAAATCATTTCCCTTTTCAAATGGGCGGACGATACCCACTATTTAGGGTATTTTCGTTCTCAGGCTCTAATCATTGCAACTTTCGGCAAAGCATTCTTAGATGACATAAGTATGAGCATAAAAAAGTTTGGAGATTAAAACTTACCTGAAAGTTATTTAACTCAAACACCAAAAAATCCTGAATCCACCCCTGCTGTACCAACAGTAACGTTTTTACACAAATTTATCCAGAAGATAAGAATCACTGCTGTATTATGTCAGAATATAAGAATCACTGCTGTATTATTAAGCTGGTGGTTCCTTGGAAGCTTGGGAGATATAAAACTTGTGATGTACAGAATTCTCTCAGGTTTGTTTCATTAATATTAATATAATTTGTAATTACTTGACCATAAGTCTTTCATCATTAATCATTTTAAGAAGCGAGTTGACACATTGCTGAATAACTACAAGAAGCTGCGATCTCATAGGAATAGAGAAAAACCAGCAGAAATTATGAAAAGGGAGAACTTTGTAACAGAATCTAAGAAGGTATTTTGGATAGGATATAATATAGAAGTATTAATTGAAGACAAACAACAGGACAGAAAAAGAACAGCTGAAGCCAAGAAAAAAGATATCAAATTCTTGAAAATGAAAAGGAGAAAAAGACAGGTTACATAGGACCTACCGACACCAGCCTCAAAAAGGCAGCTGAGAGAGCTTCTAAAAAGGTTTGTGGAAATTTGAGTGAGAAATCTGATGAGCAGTTGGTGGAAGACCATGATGAATTAGATACTTCTGTTAATTCATTAAGTAATGCAGGTGATGCTGATGAAAGTAATCTGGATGAGTTTGTTTCCACAAATGTTCAGGATGAAGAAAATAGTGTACTTTTACCTAAAGATATTCTCAGACATACTTTTACAACTGCTGCAGGTGAAGGTCTTTTAGTGAATCAGCACACTGCTATCATAAGCAGTTTAATAGCTTTCTCAGGAGGAAATGTTGGTGAATATGTTGTCTCTAAATCGTCCTATATAAATATACTTCCAGTGTTTGATACCACTGCATCAAACACTGGAAGGCTCCAAGGTGTAAATACCAGAATGTCAGAAGTTAGGAAGGAAACTTTTTCTCCTTGCCTGCCGACACCATGTTCTGGAGCGTCATATTACTCACTTCTGTAAGATGTACCCAAGTAGTAAATTTACAGGACCAGATAATCAGCTGTTTAAAATAATCAAGCTAGTCTGGAAGGATCTAAAGAAAGATATACTGCCCCTGTAGAGGATTGTAACTCCACCTAAAACCTGGATAAACCAACAGCAAGAGGAATCTGAACAGCTCTACAGAGATTTAATCAACAATAAGACATATAAGAAGGTAAAATGAATCATTTATTCTAATACATTATTGTTCGGTAACCTATTTTTTATGTATTTTAATGTTTAAAAATAATAATTAATAAAAAACAAGATGGGAAATCAAGAAAAGATTACCAGGAGTTAGTTGAGCTCTTTTTGATGATTGTAACTAAGAAGGAGAGCTTAAGGTTTCATATGCCTGGACCTGTACACCATGTCAGATTCATGACTAAGGCCTTGCACTATCTGAAAATGTACCTTCTACTAGATCACATTCCTGGTCTAACTAAAGAAAACAAAGAGGAAATATCTGATATGGCTATGTTTGTAAATACGTTTTATGCTCAATGGTTCCTTAAAGCAGAGTTGACCGCTGCTTCTCCATATCAGGTAAAAATAATAAAGGTTTAAAATAAAAATATAAATAAAAACATGTAAACTATAACGATAGAATATTGCTTATTTACTTTGAATTTTCTATAGGATATAAAAGGGCAAATGAAGAGATTTATTTCCATAAACCTCTTCATTTCCCCTCTGGCAAATGAAGAGGTTTATGGAAATAAATCTTCCTAGAGCTACTGAAGTAGTCCGATCAATGTCAAGGCATGATTGGTTTCTAAAGTCCAGTTCTAGTTGTGTTTGTATGAGCTGATAAGAACTACCCTGATAGAGACGAGTTAGCTAAGAAACTCTATAACACTCATTTGGACAGACCTAATGTCTTCAAACTGGAGCGTATTGAAGTAGATAAGAAGGTTCTTCACTCACTAGACTACTCCCAAGATCAGCCTCCATCCCTAGCATCTCTTGTTACTAAAAAATCTTGGTTGATCTTTGATAAGATTGGCCATGGGGAGGGGCAAGTGTAGTGGCTTAACACCCCTTCACAGTTCTGGGAGTTGAATTCTTTTTATCTAGAGTTTGAGACGACCATTAAATCTCTAGATGCAGTTAAAGATTCTTCTGAGAGAGCTATCAAATGAGTTCAGGAGCTTATTATGAAAAGAAGGAGAAGAGGCAAGATATGTTCTTGTTTAATTATGTCTACAAGAGAAGAAAACAAGGATCCAAGGATTTTTATTTGTTTTTATTACTCATTCTGAGTTTAATAATGATTTTTTTTATTATTTTAGGGTGGCCCATGGACGTTGAAATTTCCAAAAAATCGACAAAAATCATCAAAATTAAAAAGTTTAGGGCCCGTGGGCCACCCTTGAACATTAATAATAATAAAAAAATTATATATAAAACCAATATCTGGGCATCTTATAAGCTTCTACTCTTGTTGAAATTTTACAATGACCCATTTTTAAACCACCCTACTGTGTATAGTGATCTAAGATCTTCTTAGCTCCATTTGTATAGCGTTACGTACAAAGTGTAAACGTTTTTAGTATATGTTGAGTTTGCTGGTATTATATGGAATAATCGCGCATAATATATCTATGAAACAAGAAAACTTTAAAATTTTATTTTAAATTTTAGAAATCTTTTTTGCTATATTATTATTTTTTTGGTATAAATATTAGCAAGATTAAAAATTTATTACGCGAAGGGGAGGTCTTAAAGCCCCAAAAAAACACTGATGACAGCGCACTTCACCACTGAGCTATCAATGAACTGCATTCAGCAGAAGAAAAAAACCAAGCTGTAAGTCTCTTATAAGGTTAAAACTAAATTCAGCAAACCCATGTTTCGTGTTTTTTTTAAAACCCAGACCCGAATATAATAAATGCTTAAATATCTAATTCGTTTTTAATTGTGATAAGTTATAACAAATTTTACCATAATATATTAAAAATAATTATTTAATAAAATAAACGTATTAAATTATTTATCTATCGCAAATTGTTATAAGAAAATGAGTATTAAGGGTTTAAATAAATTTAAATAATTCGGGTATTGATTTTACAAAAAACGTGAAACCCCTGGAATTTTTTTCTTAAAAGCTCTACGTATGCAGAAAAATTATGCATGTTATGTGTTTTGCTTTAAAAGTTTTTTTTTAAAACAAAATTATTTTACTAAAAAATACTAAAGTAATTAAGGAATAGGTATATAAGTAATCAATGTGGAATAGATATGTATAGAAATGGTAGGTTTGGTAAAGACCCGTATTTTTCGGATCCGGAAAGCTAGGATATATAAGGAAAAAGTATAGAAAAGTTTGATTTGGAATAAACTTACAAAGACTCTTATTTTTACGGGTCCAATCTCAGCTAGTTAATAATATAATATGTTGTTACGACTATTAAGTAATCCGACTGTCGACAATTGACTAAAATATTTTCTAAAATCGACGTATACATTTTTGAATCGACTAAGTCGATTTTGAATCGACATTATTGAATCGACTAAGTCGATTTAGTCGAAGTATGAAAATCATTTATTTTTTTGAAATAACAAAAATAATTAGTAATTTATATTTGTTTTCTATATTTTAATTTAATATCGTTAATAACGATGTGATTGTATTAATGACATTTAGATTTTGAAGCTTCACAATTTAGATTTACTCCAGGGCCCCGAGCTAGCTTGAAGCAGCTCTGTATTTATGAAAATAATAAGCATCGAGTAAACAAAATAAAAATAATAATTAATGAAATGCATAATCGAAAGTATAATTTGGTATAAATAATGCTAACATGCTTTGAATTAGATAAGAATTTAATTTAACAAAAAACTGGTTGATAGTTATAATGCATACTTTTGTTATTAAAAAAAAAAAAATTGAAAAGTTAAATTGAATGAAAAGATACAAAGGTTTTAAAATTTTTACTCAACTAAATCGACTTTTAGTCGATTCGTAAAAAGTCCATAGTCGATTAAATCGACTATTCGATTTTCTAAAGTCGACTAATTTCGACTAGTCGTCTTCTAGTTGAAGTCGATAAAAACACTAATGAATATATATATATATATATATATATATATATATATATATATATATATATATATATATATATATATATATATATATATATATATATATATATATATAATAGTTGTGTTGATAAATACCGGTATAGAGTATTAAATACAAAGTAGAGCAAAAATTATATTATGTAAAATTAAATAATAATACCTGGTTTAACTACTAGGTGTTATTATTTAATTTTACATTTTTTATTAATTAAAAAGATACCTTTTTATTAACAAAAAACAATACACGCTTTGATTTACACTAGTCATCTTCTGTACAAACTAATAATAATACAATTACAATTAGAAAAGTACAATAAAGTCAAATAAAAAGTTTAACATGTCATGCTAAAGAAATAGGAAATAACAAAGAATAGGTAAAAAAAATACGCAATATGTATAGAAAGTAGTAGCTAAACAGAATGTGTCATTTGGACATGGTTAGGCTGTTTTTTCATAACAGGTTTTAACCACTCTATGAACTTTCTTCAAGTTTTAACTCAAATTTATTAGATGCCAAATCTAATACAGAAAAACACTTATCATGAATCAATTTTCGTTAGCATGGAGATGCTTATAAATGTAGTTGTGATGTTCAGATATCTGCGTCTTGAGTTGGCGATTAGTTTCATCTATATAACAGGAATTCCATCCTGCACATACGAGTATAGATCGCGAACGATTTGAACTCTAAAGAAATAGGATCTTTACAAAAATAAAATTTGGAAATTAAAATAAATTATTTAGAAATTTAAAAAAAAAAATTTAGAAATTTAAAATGATTCAACTAAAAAAAGACTGAATTCTATTGCTAAAGAATATTGCCGTTCTACAAATATTAAATCATTATTTCCCTCACTAAAATTTTCTAAATTTATTAATGATATATATTTATATATAAACATATATCATTGAAACTCATTTCTTCTAAAGATCCTATTCCTCTTGAGTTAAAATTGTGTGGTCTGGGTCGTGTTGAATAAATGCGCGTTTACGGACGTGCAGCAACGTCGGCGCTTGAGTTTAAAAAGTGTTCGATAGTTATTTACATATTTTGTGTTTCGCGGCTGAGAGTTAAACTATGATTTTGTCGTATAATTCCACCATAAAAATTCTACCACAACATGAAAAATAGGTCAAACCCAGATGACGTTTATTTAGATCAAATCATGATTTTTCATTATTAGGTTGCAATTAAAATGTCAGGATTTGAAGAGTCTGGGTTAGCTGGAAAGCATTCTATTCGCAAAGGGTTCAAAGAATGTCGTGAGCCGGAGGCTTTTATTTCTACATTTCAACAAGAAAATTGTGTTTTATTATCTTCCCTTCATCCAGCTCTTCATTTACTTGACTTACAAGAGGTTAAAAGAGTTGTCTTTCATCAATCTGTGATATCAGATTTAAGCGAAAAACTCATAAAGCGTATAAACGCTAGCGATTATAATGACCAAAAGCTAAAAGAACTTATAGATCATACTATTCAGTTTATTCATGTTGATGCATTGCGACCTGTTATTATGACTGCATTAAAAAAGCTTAAAGAAGTAAAACCAGAAACTATTGAACTAATTTCTTTAAATGAAAAAATCTATAATGATTGCCCCATTGAAGTCAAACGAAAGGTATGGATGAAAAAACACCCACTTTTCGGTGATGCTGTTGGTCCCATACTAAATAGGTATATTATAGAAAAGCAGAGTTTAATTTATTCAACTGAAAATACTAAATCACAAAACTTTTTTAGTCTGTCTACACGGGAACGTAGACAGAAGCCTATTGTAAAACAATTAGTTGAAATGATAGGTACTTCGATTGACTTATATAATCTAGTCCTTCAGTTTTTAAGAACCTTATTTCTAAGGACTAAAGAAGAAAACTATTGCTCACTTCGAAGTGAACTATTAATGGCTTTTCATGATGCAGATATAAAAGAAATTCATCAAGTTGACCCATGTCATAAATTCACATGGTGTTTAGATGCCTGCATTAGAGATAAAAGTATAGACACCAGGCGATTGAAAGAACTGCAAACATTTTTAGATACTATAAAAAATGGTCAAGAAGAAGTTATGGGGTAAGCATTTTATATACTAAATGTGATTGAATATAAGTTTTATAGGGTATATATCTAGTGCTTAATTTTAGTTTATGTCTATTAATGAATAATGTTAGTTGCAGAGGATACCTAAGTATTCTTGGCAACTGGTTAAGCATTAGTATATATTTCTTTATCAGTATATATATAGGTACGTAGCATGAAAATTTTAAGTTAATTAAACATTAGATTGTTATATATCATTTTAAAGAGCTTCAATACAGTATTCTAAAAGTGAAAAAATTATCAAAATCGAGCAATTTGATGAAAAGTTATAACGTTTTTATACCGAATTTTCGATATATAGATTTGTTGAAGAAACTGGTCAAAATAATATTTTTCTTGACTAAAAACATCATAAACTTGTCAATTCTTATCTAAATGCCTATAACTTGGTATCAAAAGATAGGTATTAGAATAGGCTACAAAATTATATTGGTTGCTAGCCAAAGGGCGTATCAGGGGGCTAGAGGGGGAACCGAACCAACAGCTTATCCGGTAAATGCAAATTTTATAAATAAAAGAGAAATTTTTTTTGGAAATTTTTAATTTTCATATGCAAGAAGTAGTTATAATTTGCTTCAGACCATTCCAAATTAAGAGAAGTTTATTATTGTGTTATGGTGGGTGTAAGGGTGTCAGTTTAACACACCCATTAACTAAAAAAAAATTTCAATAAATATTTTTATCTTTATTAAAAAAAAGTAAGCCTAATAATGAATACAAAATTTTTTAAAAAAAAAATTAAAAAAATTTCTCGTCTTCACACTAGTAGGGCACATTTAGAAACAAGGGAAGGGTGTGTGCCACAACGCCCTCCAACCTAAAATAAGAATTAAATTTTTGTAATGCGATTAAAAAAATTTAAACGCTACTGTATAAGATAATAAAAATTATTATAAAAACATATTTTACCACATTACAAGATGCATCATTTTACCACATTATAAGATGTTGCCATTCTTTCTTTATATCAGCGTTCAAATACCCCCCCCCTCCCACCTAAAATAAATATTTAAAAATAAAAATACTTTGAATTACAACAAATACTAACTTACGTCTTGGCTTTTAGTGAATGATTAAAAGTTTAAGTTTCACAATGAAACTAAATAACAATCATTTTTAATAATAGACACGACAAGAATGTCATCCAGAGCCGTCTATCATAAAAATTGCAAATCATACCAATTGCAGTACCTTTTCTGTAAGTAACACAACTAGTGGTACCTATTTTGTAAGTCATACCACTTGCATTACCATATTTGGAAGTCACACCACCTGCGGTATTTTCTATGCAAGTCACACCACTTGCGGTTTCCTTTTGGCAAGTCACACCATTTGCCATTACTATTTTGCACTTGTGGTATATTTTTGCTAGCCACACCATATGCGGTACTTTAATTACAAGTCACCACTTGTTGTATCTGTTTTGCATCAACAAAATTACCTTGTATTGAAAATAAAAATTATATTATACTACTTTATAACATACACTAGTGGCCTACATGTCAAATCAATAATTGGGTTCCGCCCCCCCCCCCCCCCCCCTTCTTTCCCTTGTAATCCAAAAAAACATAAAAAAGTTTCAAAACAAAAGGAAAAAACTGCGATTATGAAAAAAAAAAAAAAAAAAGCTATTTAAAACAACAAAAACAATTATCTCACCACATTAGATGCAAAAAAGTATCTGTTTAACATTAGAGCACAATAATATGAGTAACATTAAAGCATATTAAATTAAGAAAATATCAACTCTCCTGATACAATATCAGCAGCAAGTTGGAATTTTTACATGTAATGGTCAACAGTTTCATTTTTTTTCCAGAAGGAAATAGTATAAATTCTGTCTTCTTTTCTTTTATTGGCTTTTTCTACTTTCCCATCATAAATGACAGACTTGCTATTATCTCTATCAAACCATTCATGGCAGAGTTCTCTTCCAACAATTCTTTCATACATTAAATCATATAAGTCATCAAGTTGCTTAGTAGACAAGTGCTCATATAAATTCTTTATTTCATTAAAAGATAGCGAACTCAGCTCTCGCTCCGTTTTCCTTTTTTCTTTTTCACCCATTTTTTGCCTTTTGTATGTCTGTCTTTTTGAAATCTCTGCTCATAATACAATATAATTCAGTCAATTTGCTATTCTTTTTATACGAGCTGCTTTAATAGACCACTTAACTACATTTTCTCTCTATTTGGTCAAGACTATCAAGATAATCTAGTCATATTCTTTTTAAATCGCAATTTGCAAGATATATAACAAATAGCTGCATTAGGGATCTCCCTTTAGCTTCACTAAACATACCCATCAACTCTTCACTATCTTAATTTATCACTATCAAATTAAAATTAGTCATCCATGGCCCACTGAGAAGTTTTCCAAATAAACCACGAATACACAGTTTTATAGCAGTTGTGTTACAAAATAAAGTAGTGTTGAAAATTGGAATAATTTGAAGCCATATTATCCACTGCATTACCTATATGTTTTTCATAATCATCAGACAATTATAATTAAATTTTCATCATAATCAGACAATCCAGGCAATTGGTCCAAAGCAATGACCTGACATTTATTTTTTGACCTTAAGTGGACACTATTAATATGAACACAGTAATACGCTTGGGAATATGCAACAAACCAACACTAAAATATTGTGCAGTTTTTTCCAATAGGATTAGAATGTTACCTGTTGGAACATTACACAATAAAATGCTATAGATTATCATTCTAGATTGTATTTAGTAAGCTTTATTATCTCCAGACGTAACTGAAGCAATACAATCAACCTTCTCCATTTAGGTCATATCATTTTCTAATCTAGCAATTTCAATTTTATTTTCTCTACTAACAGTATTATGTTTGAGCATTACTTGTCTTAGCTGTTCTCTAACTTCAATTTTCATTTCCTTTTTTTCATTACAAGATTGTGAATATACCTATTGCAGTAACATGATTTAAATTTTTTGTTTCAAGTTTCTAACTCCAGCTCTCGAAGCTTTTATAATTTCTTTTTTACTTTAAATGCTTAAACTTTAAAGGTCTTTAAACTTTTATTTTGTAGGGCATGTTGTTCAATTCAGATTTCAATAATGCTATCTTATAACGTTGTTTTTTAGAAGAGTTAGCTAATAGTGATGTCAAATAAAATAACCAACTCTGTAACTTTTTTTTTGTAAGAGTCATTTTTTCTTGTAAAAGATGCAGATTTTGTTTATTTTTGCTATTGCTTGTGGGAGTTAGCTTTGCACTACTTACTGGAGATATAAAACTGATATTTTCTGATGATGCAATTGAAGAACAAGAAACAGTATCAATTGGACTAGAGGTAAGTGGCAATGACTGTGAGACTGTCAGCACCAGGGCATGGAATACAAATGGCTTGTTGCAAAAGTCAGCTACATTAGTGGCATTACATTACTACATTAGTATATGCCCATTTCTACAATCAATGCTCATTTTGGTAGCCAATGTAAAGATAGCGATTATATATTTTTTTAAATTGCCAATAAGCATCATTTTTGTCTTAGGAGACATGATACCTTTAAAAATTATAAAGTTATTTAATTGCATAACTAATGAGCAATAGGATAACTACATAAATATAAAAAAATATAAAAATGAGGTAAGTGAATGTACAATAAAAGTTTTAAATACTGAATACTTTTGGTATAAATACAACAGTTGGGTTTAAAATTTGAACTCTAAACACTTTCTATATAGCACAGAATTATGTTAACTTCTTTTTTGGTTAGATAAAGATAAAGTTCTACATAATGGCACATAAAGGCACTTAGATTTTGACCTTTTTATTTATATTTTTTTATCATAACACCTTTTAACTTCAAGTTAAACATTTAAAGTAATGTAATCACAAGTTAAAATTGTGGTTATATCACAGGCATGATTACATCAGATATGTCATAAGTTAAAACAGACATCCTAAACTCTCAAGAATGAGTTACATTATGTAGATCTTCAAATCAACTAACTTAAAACCTTTTTTAAAAATACAAAATGACAAATAATTCCTGATATAATAAACTGACTAATTTTATAAAGTGCTTTATTATCTAAAAGATAATTTTTTTTAAATTAAGTAATTTTTTATAATTAAGTTTGATATAATTAAGTAATAAGAATAATTTTTTAAAAAAAATTATAGTAGTTAAAAATTAAGTAATAAGAAAAATTTTTTTAAAAAAAATTGTTTGTAAATATATATTAATTAAACCTTTAGGCTCTACTCTTTTATCAACAACGAATGGATAACTCATTATAATTTAAGTAAATTAAATCTAAATCATATTAATTTGAACAGTTATCTATATTTGTATCAGATTATATTGCTAAATGTTGTTAATGAAATCCCCCTCATCTGCCCGGCGTTAAACTGTTAAAAAAAAAATTAGGTACCAAAAGTGCTAGTTAAAATAAGGAATGTGCTAATCAAAATAAAGCAATGAAATTTGGCAGGTGCATAAAAAGTTAGGAAAACTTAAAAATGAGAATAGGTAGGAAAATTTACTGAGCATTTTTTCAAGGTTTACTAAACGTCTAAAGTATTACCAAGTTTTGGATGTAAATAAATTACCTTAAAAAGTTTGTCATTGTAATCAAAAGACACATAGAAATAAAGTTTAATTACTCTAGATTTTAAAAAATAACTATGTTAATATGAAATTCTAAAAAATAAGGCTACAAAACACCATTCTATCATGCATGTCAACACCAAAGTCGAAAAAACGGAGAACAGTTTTTTGGTATAAAACTTGGTACCGTGAAACGCGTATTTCTACGTACCTATATATATATATATATATATATATATATATATATATATACATTTAGTTATTTATTTATATATGATATTTACCATATTAAAATATAAAGGGTATTAGGGTTATTATCCAAACTATATTTTAGGTAAGTTGCTGCACATTAACAAAGATGGATATCAAAAAAAAAAAAGTTAGATTTCATCTAAACACTTCATGTAAATGAAGTGATCTCAGAGGGTAAACCCTAGATGTCCAAACTTCTTTAAGGATAAACAAAAGGTGTTCAAAATCCTTCATGCTTTATAGGAGCTTTGTTTATGTTACTTGTCTTTCAAGCAATTAGACTGTTTAACCAACAACACAATTATTTTATATTTTTTAAAATGATGGATAGATGCTATCCAGAGATAACAGATATATGTATTTGCCAGAAGCAATTAGTTATCAAAAATGTATAAGTATATTAAAATGTGTAAATATATACACAAAAATATATATAATTTAATAACGTTTGATTATTTAAGAATATTATCAGACATTTGTCTAATACAATTTTTATTTAATTTATGATTATTTTTGACATGTTAGACTTTTTTATCAAGATCATAGCGGAAATTCTTTATAAAAAAATCTTCATAAAAATACATGCTCAACATGTGACAAACTCAACATTATACTCAAAAACTTCTGCAGATTAGTTCATCAAATGTTGTCAAGAAAAAAATCTTGACTCTCCAAAAGCATAGATGTTTTATTTTGATGAAACTTGTGGGAAGAAAGGACTATTGGATGTAGCAAGCACAAAGTTCCCCATATTTTTGTATAATATGAGACTGTATATCAAATTCTATACAAAAATGATTTTCAAATTCTAAAACTTTTTCACATGCCTCAAGCTCTTAAGTTTTTTAAAGACAAATTTTTAATATGTAATATTACAGAAAACCTTGTACAACAACTTGTCAATCATATGTGGTATGAATCTATATCACATACCATCTTTTTTGGTTTCTTTGCTTTTCTACTGACAGCAGAGTTGCCATGCCTCCTAAAATATCCTAATACGTAAAAAATCTCCTGAAAAGACCTAATATCTCCTAAAATATGGGCGATTTTCTAAAATACTCCTAAATTTTACTTATTTATTTGTTATGAGTATAATGCATAAGCTGTTGGCAGCCAATGGACAATAAAGTTAAAGAAATGGCTTATACTTTGGAATGTTACTTAAGCTCAGTCTTCAGATAATGCATTTCTTTAGTCATTTTGTTAGTCATCAAAATGTTACTCAAGCTCAGTCTTCAGGTTATGCAGTTCTCTAGCCATTTGTTGTCAGCCAAATTACTTTAGTTTTGAGAGAATTTTTACACAATTTATTGGAAGAAGAATCTAATATAGAAAAACATTGTTATATGTGACAACAGTTTTTTGTCTTCAATAGTGCTCAATTATGTATGTCTTGAGGTGGCAAGTGGTTTTTCCATTTAGCCACCTCAGCATAAAAATAATTGAGCACAATTGGAAACAAAAGTTGACATAATTTTAGACATCTCTATGTCAACGAAAGTTACAATATCACAAAATAATGTTTTTCTAAATTAGATTCTTCTCATAAATTTAAACTCAAATTAAAGAAAAGTATGTATATAGAATGGCAGAACCCAGATATAAACAAACAGGTTAATCATGCTAAAATGGCTTTCTCAATTATTAGGAGGTTAGTATGTATATATACTACCTAACGTCCATAGTAATGGCTTTAGTGCAAGTAGGTTCATTGGTGTAAAAACCAAGCCATTCAGTGTAATGATCATTAAAGTTACCAATAACAACGATATTGGCAGAAGGGTAAAGAGAAAGGGCATGGTCAATATGATAAAAATATATATTTAGAAGAGTGCAGTCTTGCGGAAAAGAAGAACTAAGGGCAAATAAAAAGATGATAAAGTGAAGAGGTGCTAAGTGCAAAAGTCAAACCTGATTCAAACCTGATTCTTGAAAAATAGGCGAATTGATTGGTAAGTATACCCCCAAGCCAAGCATTTGATTATTGAAGTCTTTGCGAATTAAAGGATAGTATTCATTAATAATGAGGTCTGAAGGAGGAATAGTTAAATTTAAATTAGTTTCACAAAGAGCAAGAAATTCTGGTGAATTTTGCATGACATAAAAATTAACTGATAAAAGATTACTTCAAAGACCAAAAATTGTGAAAAGATTAGAACAGTTAGTTAAGTGTTGGGGATGGGTTTTTTATGTTTAATATTTTTGGTTACTTTAGGCATGATTTAAGCTTAAAGAGAGCTTGACTCATTCATAGATAGAGCTTGGCATCCCAAGTAATGAGCTCTGGAGTTGTCTCTTATTAGGGCTCCTAATATGGTCTTGACAATGCACACCAAAAGCATTAACACCATCCTTGTGCAACATGGCACTTTCAATACTCTGATATTTTACAGCTGTTGATGAAATTTTCTGAGAACTAACAAAGATTTCATGAAGCATAATTTAGAAATATATAAAGCAGAAATTAACCTTTCTGAAAACTATCAAAGATTTCATGAAGCATACTACCAGCCAGCCTAAGAACCATTAAACTGAGTTTTAGAGCTGTATCTTATTAGGAGATAGCAGGATGAGTTGCATAGCCACTATCAAAGAGGCTCAAGTAAAAATCTATGATTAAATTCAAAAAGTTCCAGCATTCATCATCCTAGACAGGAAACAGTATAATAGGTTTACATCTATGCCTGTCTAATAGATAAAAAAGGGGTTAGAGGCTGGTCAACAGAATTGTTCTGCTTACCCCTAATGTCTTTGCCTAAGAGTTTTTGTACAAGACAGTAGCTGGGTGCAGTTAACATCTGCCCAAGATGAGTATTTTTATTAAGACACCATCTCTAGTCTTTACTCAACAAGGGATTTTTAAGTCAGTTTATTTCTCTTAGTCTTTGCCTAAAAAAAACCCTACAAGACAGCAAGGCATGGGGCAGGTTGTACTGGGTTACATATTACCAGTAGCAGAGTAATGATAATCCTGAACCTGACCTGAAGTTGTTAAAAGAAGTTACTATCTGTAAGCAGTTATTAAAAACATTAGGAATATTTTAGAAATGCTTTAGGAATGACATTACATCTAACAGAATACTAGAGATTAAGGTTAGTGTAGCTTTTATACTGAGTTGGTTACTGAGCTCACACTGCAACAGAGATTTAAGTAGAACACAAACATGCATAAAGTAACTTATGGTTCGAGAACACCGTGCCAGAGGTTCAAACAGAACACAAACAAAAACTTAATAATTTACAGGTAAACCAACACCACACCAGAGGTTCAGACAGAACACAGACATACATTGTAAATAAGTAGCACAAACATACATAATGCATAAGTAACTTATGAGTGAATGAACACTGTGCCATATAGTAACTAGCTTCATTAAAACCCCCATTAGTAGTAGGCGTGTTACAAATTTTGATTTGTTTTTAAAATTAAAATTTCTTACATTTTTTTTTCATCAGATATTGTTTATGAATGTTTTCTTTTTTTCTTTATTTTTATTTAAATTAGATATACTTTATTTTAATTAGATATTGTTAATGAATATATATGTTTTTTATTGAATTGTTTTTTTTTTTATATCTGATAATGGCTAAAATGATGACCATCTTTTACAATTTATGTAAAGGCTTCAAATTCGAAGAGCTACTCAGTTTTTATTACTGATTGTTATATTTATTACAGTTATTATATGAATGTTTACCTGATCTATTTTTACTGTACAGTTTCTTATAATATTGCATATATCTGATTTACAGATTGATGTTATAAAATTTTGTCTCACTAAAAATCTAAGAAATATAGATTCAATATGGAGATAATGGCTTTCATTTTTATTATAATAAAAAACCTTTTTTTTTTTTTTGAATTTTTAGTGATATTGCTATGATTCTATGCGATCCTTATGCAACAAATACAATTATTGTTAGTATTATGCAAGTACTTAATAAGTTGATAGCTGTTGATGTTCTTCCAAGGGTATATTTAATTCATAAAATTTCAAATGGTTTTAAAGTTTATATAAATCTAAAGTTAAATAGGATTTAATATTTTTATTTAGTCGTCTGGAGATTTGATGTTTCTCATTCGTCTGCTCTGTCTCAGTTTGGGAGCTTGGGATATGATTAAAGCACAAAATTTTAAAGAAGAATCATTGGTCAGTTTTATTTTATCTATTTTGTCTTCAAATGTTCACAAAGTAAATTGTTTAATAAAATCTTATATACTAATAAATAAAAAAAATGTATCACTAGCTCTATGTCATAAAAGTTTGTACTTTAATTTAGTTTGAACATTGCTAAATGTTTTTTAAATATCTTTTCTTTTAAAAGTTAAGAGAATTACATCTGGTAAGAAAACCAGTAATTGTTAAACACATAATTTGCATTTTGATTTTCTTAAAAGTTATTTAAAAGTAGGTTAACACATTTACACATAATTCATCTTTTGGTTTTCTTAAAAGTTAACACATTTAACAATTTGTCCCTAACATGCCCTAATTGTTTTCATAAAAACCTTGTATACTAACTAAAATTTGTTTTAATTTTAGAATATTGATATTGTTACAAAGTTTTTACCTCTACTAATGTCCATCATGATGGATTGTATGGGAGATGAAAGCAATGAAAATCCAAATAATATTAAAGTTCCTGATAATTTATTTAAGTTTATTCAAGAAAGCACACCTTCACAGTTAATTGTTTGTTACTATCTAAACCAAGTAATTCAGAGTGATAAAGTGTAAGTTTTTTTCTTCTAAAAATTTAAACTATTTGCAATTCCTTTTTATTTTCTTATTTTTCAAGTATATACATACAAATATATACATATATACATTTTTTTAATGTTTTACTAACATATGTGCGCTATAAAGTTGTCCAGAAAATATTATTTTACTCAGACCATCTAAATTAAAGTTTTTCTTATTATACTATCATTGTTATGACAAAAATAATTTTTTTCATATTTTTGATAAGTGATCCTGAGGTCCCTTAAAACCTCTGAACATTCGCCCCATTTTTTGAGTATAATTTCATTAATTTGTTTTTTTTTAATGTTTTTAGAGTTACAATAGGCAAAGAAACATTACTCAAAAAAGGTTTCGATTTGTTTTTAGTTGCTTCTAGTTGTATTGCTCAAGTTTTGGCACTGTTTTTTGAAAGATTTAATTAAATTTTGATTATATTGGAAAACTCGAAGTAGTAAGAAATGTAAGCGGTCACCGTCACTGTGAAGATATACCAAAAAGAAAGTCAATATTTTCAGGATTAGACTAAAACCAATATTAGTAGTACCCGTAGAAGTAGTACTATTACCCCTAGCTCACATAAAGCAAATCCAGGCAAACCTGTGACAAGAAAGTTAACAGATTTCTGGTTAATTAGTCATCCTTCAACATCAATTAATGAAGCCAAACTGCCTGATTGAAAGGGGAAATATGAAGTTTGTCTAATTTCAAAGGTATGATCCAGAAAATCAAAAAAAAGCTGAAGAATCAGAATATTCTGCAGTTGATTTTTGGAATATGACACATATAAAAACTAAAGCAAGACAGAATTGCGTGATTAATGTCATGAAACTTTAGAATGAATGGTAGAGTTTAATAATAAAAAAAAAAAAATAGGAAAAAAAACTGAACCTGGCAACAGGAGAGCAAACATCATTAAATGATTGGATTCTCTTTTTGACATTCTGCACCAGACGCCATTGGTGAAATAAAAAAATCAAGATTTTTGTCAGGCAGAAAAAAGCGAAATGATATTGATTTCTATTTGGATCAATAACAGGAAAGGAGAGCATGCACAGACTGGCATGATAAAATGTTTGAAACCAAAGCTGAAATAAAACATTGTTTAAATTGCGATGCGTTAATTCAACCCTTGAAGTTTGTTTAAAATTGTGAAGACTGTTCTAATGAAATGGTCATTTTATCATATTCGAAAAATTATTGAAAATTCAATACTATAAGGTTAATACAGCAAAAATAATAACAGCCAAAACTTACATATTTTAAATTATTGTTTATTTAAATACCAAAAAATTTATGGATTTTAAAAAAAGTTTTACGAAAAAAATAGGAAAAAATAATTACTAAAGATCCAATAAATTTGCTCAGTAATTTAAAAATCAACCAATAAAAAATCATAATAAAGCTATTTGTGCATTTTATGAAATGTTAAAGTTGATTTTTGTTTAGGGGGAAACATTGAGGAGTTATTTTTTTAAAAATTTAAATATTTTTAATTAAAAATTAATTAGTTGATAATAAAAATATTAATAAAAAAGGTACATATTAAAATAAATTATTAGTTTTTCTATTTTGTTTTAGAATAACTAAAAAGTTTTTTTTTATATATTTTTAAACTAATCTGTTTTTAAATTTGTATACATATAGATATATTTATATAGATATTGTACGAGTTGCATAAATGCAACTCGTACAATAAGAAAAGTTTGATAAAACCTGGGATGAACTGTGAGAATTGATTTAACTTTAGGAATAAATGTAAAAACTAAATAAAATTTGGGAAGGAGTGCTAGGACTGAATAAATTCTGGGAGAGATCTGGAAAAGAGTGTGTGAACTTAGAAAACCTTCAAAGGAGTAAACTGAATAAAACCTGAATAAAACTCTGTTAAAACTGAAATTAAAACCATAATTAGAAGGAAAAAAAACGAACATCTTGAATATATGTGCTTTCTTTATTTTGCAGAAAATTATATTAGATGTATCATTAGTGATGAATTTTTTTGTTTTTATAACAGCTGTTAAGTTTTCTACCAAGTTAACAGGCCTTAAAACTTTAATCTTTTAATTTTCTTCAAACAGTGTACTCACAAGTATACGCAACTGAAAGCAGTTTATACTTGTTTACATTTGTGTTTTAATTGGTTAGTATTGTGATGTCATACATTAAAAGTTCAATGTATATAAAAATCTCTTGAGCAAAAAAGCAACAATGTAAAATGTTAGTAAACTCAACAGAACCAATGTTGCAGTATATTATTTCAAAAAATTTAACTGTTGCTTTCCCAAATGCATGAATTGTATTTCAGACTTATTATATTATATCATAAGCTAACAAATCTTTCTCATCTCTGCATTGAATTTGATGAAAATCTAAACTTAACTTGCATCATCAAATGCTTTGCAACTAAGAATTTTTTTTTTTTTTTTTGTTAATTCACCTCCTCAAGGCCAAGAAGGCCACTATAGACGACGGGCTACTTATTTGTGGTTATAACCTTCTCTTAACTCTATAACTCCGAAACACAAACCTTGTCAAACAAGGCCGCTGTGCGGAAAAACCAGTTGAGTGTGGTACTACCAAGGATGTGGTGGGGATCGAACTTGAAACCTCTCTCTTATGAAGGGAGCGCTCTACCACTACACTACTACCACATTTTAAAGTACAGAAAAACAAATATTTTGTTTTCTGTATTCATCGCTAATACAATTACTAATTTGAATTAGTTTCTAGCTATAAACTACTCTTTGTTTGAAAACAAATTTTTTAAAGAAAGTGTTTAGGTTAGAGAAATTCCTGGTATATAAATAACTACAATATTTAAGATTATATTATGCTCCAAGCCTATAAAATACCTAATCAAGCCCTGTATAGGGCTAGTAAAAATTAGCTAAGTAAAAAAAAAAAAAAAAAAAATTGAAAACTCTGTTTTTGAAAAAATTTTCAGACAAGCATTTTCTTTGGGTTTTCACACAAGTTGTCCATTTATCCATTAACATTATTCAAAAACAACTTTACTTATTCAATAGAAAATTTGATAAACGAAAGTTTGATAAGCTAAAAAAAATTTTATTGCTTATAAAAAATATATTTTTTTACTGTAATAGAATGCAGGAAGTTTAAGAATTATTACAATAATTAAAGATTCCACAATAAAAGTGTTTTTAGATAGTTACAATTTTATTAAAGGATAATATTCAATTGTGCATTATTTTTTTTATTTTGTTCAAATTAAGTCAAATCTATATAAATCATTAAATGAGGAGCCCATTTGCAAAGCGCTCTAAGTCTGAGTAAAATGATTTTGAGAAATCGAAGAAAAACATGCCCAAGCTAAATTAGCGCTCCAAAAAAAATCTTTGTTTGTTAAATTTACACTATCAAGTAGAGACAATTAAATAACATGCACAAAAAAAAATGCAACTCTTTAGGATCTCGAAATAAACCTTGTTGAAATACAGACTTGGCTTAATTTGAATATTTTAGATGTACTTAGATTATTTTGAAAATGTTTGGTTGAGTTCAGATGGATCGTTTGCTTATTAAAACTAATTAAAATGTTTTGAAGGATTTAATTTGCATGAATTATAAACTTCTATATAATTATATTATAAAAAAGGTATTGGAAAAGGAAATTTAAAATATAGGGAATGAAGAAAAGACTATAATAAAAGCCTAGTTTTTTTATTAAGAAATTGATCTTTAACACAACAAAATTTAAAAAGGATAATTACATTAAAAAGTTAAATATGTCTGCATACAGCATCTTCATCAATACAGCTGCATGTAGTATCTTCCTCGTCTTCTACGCGTTTTTCTATTAAAAAATCATTAACAATACTTTTTAAAAAATTAAAACAATTATCCTGCTCCCAATTCACTGCTGCATGCACAAGAATCAAACTTTTTATATTTTTCTTTTTAGCCTCTGCAACTGGGACTTCTTTCTGGATCTGAGATGGACAAGATAAACAATCATGGCCTCTTTTTGTTATAATTTGAGGACTGTTAAGAAAAAATTTAAAATTTGGTTCTCCTTGGAATTTAATATTTTTAGGAGATCCTCTTGTGATAAAAAAGTGTTTATTTTCCTGAATTTTAATTGGAAATGGTTTTTTAAAAACTCTTAAAGGTACTGATTTGAAATCCAACACATTCCAGTCTTTTCCGCAATTTTCACTGTTCCCTGGGTACTGTAAACATTATAGTGCTCTTCTGGAGAATATGTTCTTTCAATTTTTGCAACTTTTTTTCCAATGTTCATACACAGTCACAAGGCAAAAATCCTCGAACAGGAAGGCAAATGTCCTCGAACAGGAAACAAAAGTTCAATTGTTTTTACTAATATCGGTGCATGTCTTAACAGCCAGAAGCCTGCCGTATAAATTAAAGCAATATTTTTATTTTGACCACCACATGCATCAGAAACTAAACGAACAGTGTCTATTCCATCCATGTTTGTATTGCAGAGCTTGTCAAATACTGTACTGAAACAGGAAGAACTATTCTTTTTGAAATCGCTCTCATTCCAAGTATAGATAGTGACATTATCTTGATTTAAAGATTAGTTACTTTTATTTTCTACAACACAAAAGTTGTATATGTATAGTTGTCTACTATAATAAGCTTGCTGATCTGAAACTTTAGGGATGACTTGGTTTTGTTGATGGTCAAAGCAAATAAATTTTAAACCATCTTAAACTGTTCTTCTTTTCTGAGTCATTTTCAATCTTTATTTGGTTTCGAATTCTTTCACAAAATGAATATGCATCTGATTTAGGAGAACCAAACCCTAAATTAAAGTTGAGCATAAATATTTTTCTGAAAAATTCATATGTCACTGGTAGATTGGGTTCCTTTTCTGCATACAATTTCCATACTGTTTTAATACTTTTAAGCTCTGATGGTAGATAAAGTTTTATAGATTTCTTTCTGCTATAATGACTTTCCCTTCCAAGAAGACTCTTTATAAATTCTATCAAAGCCTTTTGCTTATCCTTGAATCTATGCTTTTTTTTATCACCACCTCTGTTTTCTTTTCTAGGATTACTATGTGCAAAGAAATGTTTTGCAATACTTTGAACACAAGTTTTACCAACATGTAAGCATTTTAGAAAAGTGTCTTTGCAAACACACACTATTTTTCTGTTTTCTTTTTCCATAAAATAACTAATTTCATAATTAGACCTGTTAAAAAAAAGTTGCTCTATTTTTCTGTATCATTGTTTTTTCTGAACAGACAAAAACTTTAATATAAATTTGTGTTGGTCACATTTTTTTTATAGCATTATAAAAATGAGCATTAAAAAGGTAAAGGTCAATATCTTTATTTCAGAGCATTTATATATCGTTTTGCATTCATATTGGCAATAGTGTTTTGATGGTGGTTTTAGTCTATGCCTAAAAATAAAAATGTCAAACTATATATATATATATGTATATATATATATATATATATATATATATATATATATATATATATATATATATATATATATATATATATATATATATATATATATTACCTTTAATCTTCTTTTTGTGTCTTTAAAACATCACAACACTTATCATTCTTTAGTAGAAATATCGGTCCTAAAACCTGCTCATGATGATAATAAATAGTCTTCATCTCTTCGTATGGTGTAGTCTCAAACAAGCTAGGCCTCCAAATATAAGTATCTTTTTTAATTCTTTTCTAGATTACAAAAATCTTTTGTTTTTGAACAAAACATATTTTGTGACATTCATTATTTAAAACGTTTCCAAATCAGTAAGATTTTATTTTATCAATATACTATTATTTATTATCCCTAAAAAAGATGCAAGAAAAATGTATAATTCATTCAATGTGTTTATGGGGTCAAGGGTGTTCAGGATTAGACAATTTTACGTTATTAATGAGCTTTCTAACTTTAATTTTACGTTATAAAAATTTCTAAATAATAAAACTACTAAAAAAGCAGAAACAGCAAGTCAGCAACATCTAAAAGAACATTTTCAATATAGCCAAAACTGTCAAATTACACCTTTTTTTCTTGTTTAATTTAACACCTTTTTTAAGCACTAAATTTAAGTAGAATTGACCATGTTTTTATTTCTGTTTTAGAAAAGACCACTCCAATTCTTTGTAATAACTATAACTTAACTATTCAGGACAAATTCTTTAAAAAAAAATCAAAAATCGAGCTATATCTGCATTTTTGTGATTGGATTCACCCCAGTAAAATTGTGGTAAATGTTTAAATTTTAGATGTTATGTTCATTTTTAAATATTTTAAGTTGTTTCATTGGATTCGTTGGCCCAAAATACATAAAGGTACAAATTTTCAGCTTTCTAACCCCATATAACAGAAACTAGGACCACAACCATTTTTGAAAATGATTTTTGTTGGTTGGAGGCAAACTTAAAATAGGTATATTTTAGGAACAGATGGAAGTTAGACAATAAAATTTTCAGGATGTTCATAATTTGCTAAAACCTTTAAGTTGTTTAAAAATTAGCAAAATATGAGACTTAAGGTTGTATTTTCAAAATAAAATTATGTTTTCACATGGAATCACCCATCTGCTAAAGAGTTATGAACATTTAATTTATAAGAAAATATTGAATAAGATTTAAATAAGATATAAAAGTATTTATATCTTACTTTGCGATTTCTTTTATTTAAAATATTTGATCACCACTAAATACCTTTAGACTGTTGTGATTTGCGGTTGTTTTTTGATATTAAATTGTACTGTATGCTTTATTTTTCTATTTTTATCTGATGATTTATAAAAGAAAATAAAATAATAAAGTTTAAATCATAATTTTTGAAAATAAAAATATAGTAATTATTGTAAAAACAATAGTAATAGTACAGTATAAATGGTTTTATAATGAGATTTTATATCATAATTTAAGATCAATATAAATATCTTGTATTGAATAATAGCTATTGAGTTTATTGATAAACAGAGTTTAGGGTTTTTAAAAAGCTAAAAATTTAAAGACTGGAAGCATTTTCAGATATCACAATTTGCAATCACTTAATTTGAGCCTTGAGTAGGTAAACTTGAAAGTTTTAACATTTTAAGATCTACAATTTGACAAAAAAGTATGTTTAATTGTCAACAATAGAAAATTACTCTACCTAGCTTGTACTTATCATATTTTAGAACTTGTTGTTGTGCTGTATGGAAATTGTTGTTTGGTAACATTTTAGGTCCTGAAAACAAACTATTTAAAAAATTGAAAAATCAAATTTCAAAGTTGCATAAAACTCAACCAATTCAAGTACTGGAAATCTAAAACAGATATTTATTTGCGTTACTATTGGGCTCGGTGATAAGGGTAATTTATGCCTTCTTCTTGCTCCAGCCAATATTCCAGACGACATTCGAAATTAATTTTAAATGGCGAGAAATATTTTTCCGTGCGTTTTTACATAAAAAAAGTAGATATAAACAATGCGAAGTGGAAGTAAGTGATAAGATAAACAAATTAGTTATTAAGCTATCTAATAACAACTTTGCAATTTTTAAAAATTTGCTCTTAAAACAAGAATAAAATATTTAAAAATATACAGATTTTTCTCTAAAAATAGGTTTGTAAATAAATAAAAATATCATCCAATAGCTGGATGACGGATTAGAAACTTCAACAACTTTACACAGTATTAAAGATTTTAACGATATAATGATTACTTTGCTTTAACAGTTAAAATTTTAGAATTTTAGATTGTGATAAATATAGATTATAGATTGTGTAAATTTCAAGGTGTTATTAAAAACTCAATTTAATGTATCTGGAAAGACTGCTAAAATTCTAAAAGTTCCATTGGTTGCTGAGCATAAAACATTGTCAAAAAACTTACAGACATGTTATCTTGCAATGATTTAACAACTTTTTTAAGAGATAATTATTAAGATCATGAATCTGCTGAAAACGCTCTGATAATCTTGGGTGAAATTCTAAATTTCCAGGAAACATATGTAATCTGGAAAGATATGTTTTTCAAACAGATGCAATATGATGATATAGTTGCAAAACTTATGAGAATCAATGGATTTTTAGTTTATTTCTACGCTCCTGCATGGATGAAAGCATCCTGTAGAGCAGATGCACAGATATGTTGACAAAAATATTGATTTTGTAATTAAGAAGCTCCATAATCATCAGTGATATGTGAAAGTTCAGTTTTAGTAGAGTGTGTTGATTATTGAATTTTCAAGTAAAGTCCTTTATAAAAAAAGTCATTTTTTGTATATTTAGTCACAAAATTGACTAAAATAGTATTATTTTTTGTAAAATAAAAAGTTAAATGTAACATTAACATGTATTTTCACATATGATTAATTTTATATTAAATATATTACTTTGGGCAAAGTCTGTTGTTATATGTTATAAAATTATAGCACTTTATAATGTAAAAGGTTTGTTTTTTTGACAGAAAAGCTGGGCACATGTTCAGAGGCTTTGAGGGACTTTAAGATCACCTATCAAAAATCTTTAAAAATTATTTTTAGACATAATGATAATATAATGGGAAAAACTTCAATTTGGATGGCTCTGAGTAATATAATATTTTCTGGGCAATCCAAGTTTGTTAGCTGGATTGCTTGTTAGCTGGATTGCATTTTTAACTAAGGTTGGACTAGTATTTTTATTAATAATGATTTAATCACATTATTTTAATTTAATTGACCTAGTGTTTAAAAGTTGTTTAGGTGTACTAAAAAGCATGCATTTTGATTTTCCTTTTTTTAATGTTAGTTTTTAAAATGTTTTCAAAGATGTTTGCAATACTATTTAGCTTATCATTAAGTGCATTTTTAGTCACATTTTTAGACACCAAAGAAATATGTGTATAAAAGTAATCTTACGTAAAATAAACTTTTGCTGGTCATTAAAATAGATAACATGTATCAATGAATATGTAATCTTAAAGAACATGTATGTATATCTTATGTATGTATATCCTGTATGTAATCTCAAATGTCATCCGTAATATTAAATGTAATATGTAATTTGTAATATTAAATGTAGTATGTAATCCTAAGTATAATCTTAAAGATCACCCATTTTAGTTGTACTATAAGTTATATTATCTTTCTTTTCTACGTTTGACTGTTCATCTAATCTTGATTGAACTTTTTAAATTATTCTGATCTTGATTAAGAGAGTAGCCATCAAACTATTACTACCTATTATTAGCTCTGTATTTATTGCACCGATCATTTAGTATTACTCTTATTCAGTAGGAAATAGTATCAAAAGTGTTACTAAGGTTGATAAAGATAGCATCAGTATAATAACTCCTCTCTGTTCCTTTCTTATATAGTCAGTAAGTAGAGTAGATGCTAGTTTGGTATACCTATGTTTACAACATTCAAATTGTTTATCAGGATGTAAAAGGTTATTTTCTAGATAATTGTTGTGTTTTCTGATTATAACTATTGTATTTTCTGATTATTATTTTTGTATTTTGTGATTTGTCATTTTTATTTTGCTTTATAGCATCTCTAATATACATTTTATAGATGTATTGTTTTATCTATGTAAGTTCTAACGTCTCATTAAAAAAAGAGAGTAAATTAAGAAAACTATATAAAAAAATATGAATTATTAAATTTATTTTATTTTTAGCGCCATTTTGGAAGTTGTTTTACCGCAATTTGCGCAAGTGTTGAAAAACCAAGTTATTTCAACATATGTGTTTAACTTATTTGTTCATCGTTTTGCTTGCTGTGAAGAAAACTTTTCTCGCACTCGTTATCTGAATCTGGTGTTTGATCAGTTTTTATTTGTTTGGTTGCAAAATGATGATGCTTTTCATCACATCCTTCGTTTATTATGGTTTGTTTATCAGAAGGTGGATAGTCAAGAACTTGTTCGCTTGTTAACAGCAACTCAGCCTTTATCAAAGGTTTTTTTTTATTTTTAAGTAAAATAAGTTTACAAAAATACTTGTAAAACAAAAGTTTTTGAGGAAAACTTTAATAAATTAAAATTCCAATCTAACCCATTTTGTCTAAGTATAAGAATTTTTTGATTAGCATGGGCCCCAACTAACCAAATAAAATTTTCAACTAATCAAGTTAATGGAGAAAAAAATTGATTATATTTTTTAAACTTTATAAATTTTGATATGAAAAGAAATATTGATTATAAGTTATTTTTGCCTAGACACCACAATAAGTAAAACATTTCATTGGTAAATCATAACAAATATATAGGTATTAGTAAATCATAACAAATATATATATTTAAGAAAGCCAGGAGCTTTTGAAGAAGTGAAATTAGATTTTTTGAAAGTTCTGATTCTGACTTAGTCGCACTAGTTCTGCATCAATTATGCCAAAATGATTTATAAATTTTGTTGATCACTGTAAAGTATTCAGTCAAAATCTAAATAAGTCAGTTGTCATGGTCAGTTTCTCAGATTCTTCATTCCATCAATTCTTGTGTTTACTTTGGATCAGACTAAAGCAAACCATTAAAAGTCCACATACATTCAAAATGCAACAGTACAGGCATATGGTAAAGAATGTATCTAAGTTTTCCAGTATCAGTAAGTATCACTGTTTTCCAGTAACCTTTAAAGGAAGATGAAAGTTGTAATTGAGAAACATAAGATGTTATTTAGACCATGAAAATTGTAAATAAGAAATTATAAGATGTAATTGAGAACATAGGGGGTCGGCCATAAATTACGTACGCTCATAGGGGGAGGGGGGAGGTTTTCAAAAAGCGTACAAAAGCAATTTAAAAGTACATACATCGATTTTCTAATTTATCACAATTAACCAGCTAATCAATAGAAAAGTTAAAATTCTGATTAAAGATCCTAGTTTGCCAACATAAAAAGATGTTTGGTATAGAGAGTAGAGGGTATAGTTTCCCTCAATTCACACACATGCAAGGGGGCCCGCAGGATTTTTTGATGTTCCAGATAGGACACTTTCACGCATTGTGCAAACTCCAAACTTAAGTATGTTTATACCTATGCTAAACGAGGAGACCGTGTAAAAAATTAAGAAGGCGGAGGCCTGGGAGCAAAAAAGAAAAAAGAAACGCCCCCCTAAAAAAAAAAAGGAGTGGTGTAAATTTTTGTATGGTTATAACTTATGTAATTTACAATATTTTTCTACATAATTTTAAATTTGTTGATAAGTTTAAATTTAGTTTTAGAAGGTAAAGTTGAAATTTTACTATATTTGTGCCCTCATGCTTGGGCGCAGAAGGGGTGGTAAGCGTTTTTAGGCTTTTTTGTTCTTAGGCCTTCGCCATTCCAATTTTTGCAAGGTCTCCTCATTTGGCATAATTATACTTAAATTTTAGAGCTTACACAAATTTCACACATTTAGCATAGGCAAACTTGTGCAAACTCTTGACATTTCTAAAGTCTGTCGCTCTTGACATTTCTAAAGGCCATCCCTCTTGACATTTCTAAAGCATTTGATAAAGTTTGGCATGCTGGTCTTCTCCATAAGCTTTCTTCTTACGGTGTATCTGGAAACATCTTTAAGATTATTGAATCCTTCCTTTCCAATCATAGTTTAAAAGTTGTCCTTGATGGACAGCGCTCTTCTTATTCTGTAACCTCAGGGGTTCCTCAAGGTTCAATCCTTGGCCTTATACTCTTTTTAATTTACATTAACGATCTTCCAGATATTCTCACATCTAAGGTGGCATTGTTCACTGATGATACTACCATTTATTCTTGTCACGATAAGAAGCCAACTTCCTCTGATTGCTTGCAGGGGGCATTTGAGCTTGAAAAGGATCTCGCTTATGCTACAGCATGGGGCTCATAGTGGCTGGTGAACTTTAATTTAGATAAGACTCAATTTTTTTCAGCCAATTGTTATCGCAATAATTTAGACCTTCCTATATTTATGAACGGTAATGTGCTCGATGAGTCATCTACCCTTCATCTTCTAGGATTAACTCTTACTTCTGATCTTTCTTGGAAACCTTATATCAAATCCGTTGCAAAATTAGCATCTGCTAAAGTTGCATCTCTTTATCGAGCTCAACACTTTCTTACTCTGGATTCTATTCTCTATCTCTATAAATCTCAAATCCGGCCTTGTATGGAATACTGTTGCCATATCTGGGGCGGATCTTCTAATGATGCCCTTTCTCTTTTAGACAAGGTGCAAAAACGCATTGTAAACATAGTTAGACCTGCTCTTGCAGCCAACCTTCAACCTTTGTCACATCGTAGTAATGTTGCTTCTCTTTCTCTTTTCTACAAATACTATAATGGGCAATGCTCTAAAGAGCTAGCCTCTCTTGTGCTATCTACTAAAATTCATTCTCGTGTTACTCATCATTCAATTAAGTCTCATCCTTTTTCTGTTACTGTTCCTAAGTGCTCCAAAAACTCTTATTCGTCTAGTTTTGTTCCTCGAACATCAGTTCTTTGGAATTCGCTTCCTTCATCTTGCTTTCCTGATTCATATAATTTGCAATCTTTTAAGTCATCAGTCAATCGTTATCTTGCTCTACAGATTTAGTCTTTTCTCTTCCAGTAACTTCCAACACTAATCAGTGGTTGCTTGCAGCCTTGTTGGAAGTGAAGATGTTAGAAAAAAAAAGAAAAAAAGCTCCAAACTTAAGTATACCAATGCTAAATGTGTGAAAGTGTTCTATCTAGAACATCAAAAATATCCTGCGGACGCCCATGTACACATGCCACCCCTTATATCCTGGCCCTGAATAAAGCGTATTTCAGGCAATATATTTTTTGAGTTAACAAAAAACAGGTTTTAGCAGTGCCGTGGCTAATGGGTCAGAGGCCCCTCCCCAAAAAAAAACGTCATTTGGGTCTCAAAATCTCCAAAATTTTACCGCTAGGTTTAAAATATAAAGCTCCTTAAATTAACAAAGAAACACAAATTAAGGGGTACGGGTAGCCTATCCTCGGTACTGGGTTTTAGACTTTGTTTTCGATATAACTGATCTCGCGTAGGACTCAATTTTAACGGACTTACTAAATAGGGGTCCCTAAAAAAAAAGTCCGCCTCAAGTATAGTTTATTTTTATTTGATTCATCATTAAAACACAAAAATTACAATTTGACTCGACCAGGTATCGAACACGGATCTACGTTGCCACAGTCCGTTGAACTAACCGCTAGACCAAGCAAACACATCTATCATATGTAATTTAACTATATTTAAATTAAAACTTGCATATATATTTGAAGAGGTTTGTTAAATTCAGATCCTGTGCCGCAAACAAAGAGCTTTTGGGTCGCATAAAGTAGCTAAGGTACCTCCTTTACTTTTTTTTTTCCATAAACTTTTTTATTGAAAAAAAAGTTGGGGGGGGGGGGAGTATTTCAAAAACGTGCGTACTTTTTTAGGGGGGGAATGACTTGGAAGTACGCATGGCAACAGGGGGATGGAGGGGGTTGATAACCCCTAGTTGTAATTAAGAAAAGTTTATAATATAGATTCTCAGAAATAAGTTCTTTGTATTTTTAATTTTGTTGCTTTTATTTACCTTGTTAAAATGGTTAAAAGGTTGGTTCCTAATTTGACCAAGGTGGCCATATGGGTTGCAGTCTTCTCCATTTGAAATTTAATGTCAGCGCATGAAAAAGCGCTGTCATTAAAGTTAGTCTGCACGATTTAAAAAATTCATTTTTTTCTGCTATTTAAATTAAAATAAAAATAGCAAAAGAATGCTTTGAATAAACACTATATAAAATTGTGAATTCGCAATTACAAGTTATGTAATTCTCATTTGCATATTACGATTTCTTAATTATGTTGTGTTAATTACATATTACAATATCTAAATTACATTTGAAAAAAACATGTTGTGTTAATTACATATTACAATATCTAAATTACATGTTGTGTTTTCTTAATTACATATTGTAATTTCTTAATTACAACTTGAAAAGTGTATAAATACTATAATGGGCATTATTCTAAAGAGCTAGTGTCTCTTGTGCCATCTACTAAAAGTCATTTTTGTGTTTGTCATTCAGTTAAGTCACATCCTTTAACTATGACTGTTCCTAAGTGCTTCAAAATTTCTTATTCCTTTAGTTTTTTTCCTTGAACATCAGTTTTTTTGAATTCACTCTTCATCTTGTTTCCTGATTCATATAATCTGCAATCTTCTAAGTCCGCTGTTAATTGTTATCTTGCTTTATAAACTTCATCCTTTTTCTTTCAGTGACTTCCAATTCTAATAGTAGTTGTTTACAGCCTTTTGTAGGTGAAGATGTTTATTTTATATATATATATATATATATATTTTAACATCTTTGCTTCCAACAAGGCTGCAAGCAACCACTAATTAGTGTTGGAAGTTACTGGGAACCCTCCTTTGGAGATAATAGAATGAGTTGCCTAGTCATAAAAGCAGAGACACAAGCAAAACCCATGCATAGAGTCAAGAAGATCCAGCGTTCAACATCCTAAACTGGAAACAATGTATTAAAAATACATCTGCGTCAGCCTAATAGATAAAGAAGGGGTTCGAGGCTGGTCAACAGATAGATTCTGTTTACCTCTTAAGATAACGATTGATAGACAACTTATAAGATTGCAAATTATATGAATCAGGGAAGATAAAGGAATCGAATTCCAAAGAACTGATGTTCAAGGAAAAAAACTAGAGGAACAAGAGTTTTTGGAGCACTTAAGAATAGTTACAGAAAAAGGATGAGACTTGATTGAATGAAATGACGAATAACACAAGAATGAATTTTAGTAGATAGCACAAGAGACGCTAGCTCTTTAAAGCAGTGCCCATTATAGTATTTGTAGAAAAGAGAAAGAGAAGCAACATTACGACAATGTGATAATGGTTGAAGGTTGGCTGCAAGAGCAGGTCCAACTATGTTTATAATGCATTTTTGCACTTTGTCTAAAAGAGAAAGGGCATCATTAGAAGATCTGC